CAGTCATGAATGATTTTCCACGCTTGGCGACGAAGAGAGCTGTAAGCTTCACAACTTCCAGATCTTGCGCATTGATTATGGGCATCCGTGCAGAAAAGTGAAACTCCGGGGGTTCTTCGGGGCCCTTGGGCTTCTCTGGTTCAGCTGCGGGGGTCGCTTCTCCTGGTCGGCCTGCTGCCACTGCGGTTCCTCGTCCTTCCTTGATCTCGACGAGACGCCATTGGTAGAAGGGAGCGTAGGCGTCACCGGGGTTGAGGAAGGAGAATTTGGGGTTGTTCCGTTCCTTTTCACGAACGCGATCTAAGAGTCTGCGCGTGAGCTGCGCGGTTCGAATAGTAAATTAGCATGTCGAGGATGTGACGTACCTTCGAAGACGACACCGTTTCGAGCGACATAGCCAGCCGTTTTCTCGACGATAGCTGTTTCAATGTCAGCTTTCGGCCATCACAGGCCTCGGAGGCATGGACAAACTTACCTCGAATATCCTTGGGTGGCAAGACCACGCCCTCAGGAGGCTTGCTCACCTCTTCCGGCAGCGGAGTGCCTCCGTTACTTGCAGATGCCATGGTGCTCACTCCGATGAAAATGGAGAGGACGCGGGGATTGGATGAGAGAGTCCAGACTGAGGCGATTCGGCGACCTGCGATGTTCCTTTTCGGGTTGACTTCATTTCTGGGCGCGGCTACTGGGAGACTAAGCGCGGGCGGACAGGCTACCCGCGCGCATAACTATGGGAGCTGATGATTGGTTGGACTGGCCCGAGGCTAAACCACGATGGGCCAGTCCCTGGCGTTGTCAATCAATCTACTTAGTAACTGACCGTTGATGAACGCTGGGGCAACATCCATAATTGATTATTATTATTATCATTGTTGTTATTGTCATGGCTCAAAGCTTGGACGGTGTTACATGAATGAAGAGCAATGTAGACTAGAGATAGCTAGAATGAATCTGCCCCTACGAGGCTGATGCTGGCGGCGTGCATGGGGGCCTTGCATATGCTGACGGGCAGAAAACCAAGAGTCTCTCACAACTGCGGCCGACGATCTGGCCTTAAAGCGGCCGACGCTTTCGTCCGCCTCCCTAATCGTCCCACACGTGCTGTGCTCGCTCTTCATCATCTTCCCTCTCACTCTCTGCCTTTCCCGGTCCCCTTTTGTCCCACTTCTTCTCTGTCATGGCGCTTCTTTTTTGAAATAACTTCTTACTCTCTTTTGATTGTCCACTTTTTGTTTAACACCCACCCCCATCCCATCTACATCTGTGCCTGTTCAGCGGGGGTGGTCCGAAGCTCCCCTGGAGTTGGAGCATTGTGCAGTAACGGGCTCCGTCATTGTTTCGCTTGCCCGCGGTAGCTCTTGATGATCAATTGCCCTTTATTTTCGTGCTTTTAGGATCTTCTGAACCCCTCCCCCGGCCAGTCTCCTGTCCACTCCTTTCTTTTTTCCTCTCTCTCTTCAATTCCCTATTCGAAACGCCTTCGACAATGGCGACCAAATCCAAAGATACCTTGGCGGTTACGCCGCCGCCAAAATCATCCTCACGCTCTCCCAGCCGCTCTCCGGGTCCCAAGAGCCGCAAGAAGGCCGCCGCGGCCTCCTCGAGCTATGCATCCGATGGCGTTACGGACAACAATATCTTCTATCTTCCCTCCTCCGACTATAAAACCCTAGCTCTGGTGACCATTGTTGCGGCGGTGGTCCGGTTGTTCAGGATCTACCAGCCTTCTAGCGTTGTCTTCGACGAAGTCCAGTACGTGTGCATACCTTTTTCCGCCCCCGCATATGCCGGAGATAATCTTGTTCTAATGCATGGCGGACAGCTTCGGAGGTTTTGCGACAAAGTACATCAAGGGCCGCTTCTTCATGGATGTCCATCCTCCTCTTGCCAAGTTGCTCATCACACTTGCTGGCTGGCTGGCGGGCTTTGATGGCGAATTCGATTTCAAGGACATTGGAAAGGATTACCTCGAACCGGGCGTACCATATGTTGCCATGCGCATGCTTCCGGCGATTTTGGGTGTTCTCACGATCCCATTGATGTTTCTGACATTGAGGGCATCGGGATGCCGCACTATTACTGCGGTGCTAGGTGCCGGTGTCGTCATCTTTGGTATGCCTCCACGCCTCTCCGACTGGTCAATTGCACAAGCTGATTCAAAGCAGAGAACGGTCTCATTACTCAGTCTCGTTTAATTCTCTTGGATTCCCCATTGGTGTTCTTCACTGCGCTCACCGCATTGTCTTTCACGTGCTTTACCAACCAACAGGAATTGGGACCTTCTCATTCCTTCCGTGGACCCTGGTGGTTCTGGCTCGTGGCAACTGGCCTCTCTCTGGGCGCTACTCTCAGCGTCAAATGGGTTGGACTCTTCACCGTTGCTTGGGTTGGGTCGCTTACTGTTCTCCAACTGTGGGTGCTGCTTGGCGATCCGAAGAATGTCACACCGGTATGTGCTTCCAATCATCGATCTAGATCTGCTTGAGACAGGGGCTAACCTCTTATCATACAGCGCCTGTGGTTCAAGCACTTCTTTGCTCGTGTCTTCTGCCTGATTGTTATTCCCCTCAGCTTCTACTGCGCCATGTTTGGAATCCACTTCCTGTGCCTTGTCAACCCCGGCGATGGAGATGGATTCATGTCGTCCGAGTTCCAAGCAACCCTGAACTCCAAGGGGATGCAGGACGTTCCCGCCGATGTTGCATTTGGTTCCCGCGTCAGCATCCGTCACCTCAACACCCAAGGAGGCTATCTTCATTCTCACAATCACATGTACCCCACGGGAAGCAAGCAGCAGCAGATAACGCTCTACCCCCACAAGGATGAGAACAACATCTTCGTCCTTGAGAACCAGACTCAGCCTCTTGGTCCCTACGGAACAGTGGAGGGCCCCTTGGCCTGGGACAACATCACCGCAGAGTATATCGAAGACGGAGCTGTGATCAGGTTGAATCACCTTATCACTCGGAGGCGCATTCACTCGCATGATGAGCGGCCTCCTGTCACAGATGTGGATTGGCAATTCGAGGTGTCTGCCTATGGATACGACGGATTCCCGGGAGATGCAAACGATCTCTTTCGTGTTGAAATTGTGAAGTCTCTGTCTGAGGGTGAGGAGGCGAAGAAGCGACTGCGGACTATCCAGACCAAGTTCCGTCTGGTGCACATCATGACTAACTGTGTCTTGTTTTCCCACAAAGTCAAGCTTCCCGAGTGGGGTTTCGACCAGCAAGAGGTGACCTGTGCCAGAGGAGCTACTTTGCCCAACAGCATCTGGTACATTGAGTCGAACAGCCACCCTATGCTCGCAGACGATGTTGAAAAGGTCAACTACAAGAACCCCGGTTTCTTCGGCAAGTTCTGGGAGCTGCAGAAGGTGATGTGGATTACCAACGCGGGCCTAACTGAATCGCACGCTTGGGACTCTCGCCCGCCTTCCTGGCCAACCCTCCTCCGTGGCATCAACTTCTGGGGCAAGGATCACCGCCAAGTCTACCTCCTGGGCAACCCCTTCATCTGGTGGTCTTCAACCGTGGCCATCGTTATCTACATTATTTTCAAGGGAGTCTCTGTTCTTCGCTGGCAGCGGAGCTGTGGTGACTACCACAACGTGAACTTCAAGCGGTTCGACTACGAAATTGGTACCAGCGTACTTGGCTGGGCTTTCCACTACTTCCCCTTCTACCTCATGGCGCGACAGCTCTTCCTGCACCATTATTTCCCTGCCCTCTATTTCGCTATCATCGCCCTCTGTCAGGAATTCGACTTCCTTGCCAACCGTATTAAGAGCCTTGGGATACCATCTCGCCCTGTTATCGGCAAAGTGTTGGCCGGTATCTTCCTTGCGATTAGCATCTTTACTTTCACACTGTACTCGCCTCTGGTCTACGGCAACCCCTGGACACAGGACGCTTGCAACAGTGTAAAGCTCATGGACAGCTGGGACTTTGACTGCCACACATTCTACACTAGCGTAAGTCTCCCGGGTACCGCAGCCAATACGCATGTTGTAGATGCTGACATGATTACAGCTTGACCAGTATGTGACCCAAATTGTGGACACGCACGCGGCCATCCCCACGACTCAGACATCGGTACAACAAGCACCCCCCGTTGTGATGGAACAACCACCGCAGCAGCAGGTCCCGCAGCAGGTCCAGCAACAGAACCAGGAAGTCCTGCAGGAGGAGGCCCAGGAACCGGGTGTCACGCCCCGGGCTCGGCACACTGCCAAGGCCCGTGTGGAATACCGTGATCAACACGGAAACGTGCTGGACGAAGAACTTGTTGCTCAGTTAAAGAAGGAAGGTAAGGTCCAGTTCGAGAGCCGTCATGAGACGAAGACTCGCCTGGAGAACGGCCGCATTGTCGACATGATCGACGGTCAAATCGCCCCGCCTCACCCCGACGTTGAAGGTCAGAACCCTGAAACTGTTGGAAGACAGCCACCTCAGGCTGTAGAGGACGGCCCAGCCTCAGTAGCCGGGCAAGGAAGCTCCCAGGAGCAGCGCGGCTCGCCTGACCCCAAGCCGGCCAGTGAGGCCAATGAGGCTACCAAATCTTGAATAGACTAGAAGCATTTGTGAGGGATCGCTGTACTGGTTTCAAACTTTGGCTGTTCTCATCTACTTCTTCTGTACTTTTTTTCTAGCAATAACTGGCTTCTTTTTCCTCCCTCTTGCTCGTCCAACTACTTTTGGTCTAACGAAATGTGACTCTTGTACATGATTACTTACGTGTTCCTGGATTTAGCGGCCTACTTGATTGTACATGTCTTATCACGGATTGGAACGTGGTTGTAAGCGCAACGAAAACAATCTTCCAAATAAACCTCGTCAAAACAACAAACTATGCACAGTGGTCTTGTAAGAACGGTCTCACCCCATACTCTAGTCTTCACAAGTTTTAGTGTACAGCGATCAGCGCCGACCTGCCTCAACTTCTTTCTTCCTAGAATTTCAACAACACAGCCTTGTCTGCAATTGCAGATGGGGAACTATTTAGTAGTCCCACTCCTCCTTTCCGTACTTGTTGTAGCGCTCGTGGAGGTCCTAAAAAAGACAGGGAATCGTTTGTTAGTGATTCAGTCGGCATTGACGGATATTGGTCGCGAATATCAACCACAGGGGGATTGGGGCAGTAAATACCACGGGCAGGGTAACGTTGGGGACAATGACAGTGTTCAAGGCGCTGGGGGCGTTGCGCAGGGGCTGGCTCTTGTCACCGTGGGGGTGGTATTGGTACTTGTAGACCTTGCCACTCTCGTCGGCCTGCTCCCAGGGCATGGCACTCTCGCCAATGCGGACGTTGCTCTCGGAGGTGACGGAGGTGGGCTTTCTGCCGAAGTACCTGTTCATCGGGGGAAAAAAATTCATTGTTAGCTAATTTGAGTCGATCAATTGTTGAATATAATAGTAGTGCCGAGAAATTTTTTTCGCAATTGAGCGTTGTATGCTTGTCGTGCTGACACACTATGAAAAGAAATCGGGGAAAAGGGAAAAGTATTCACCATCCGGCAAGCAGGAAAGCACCGGACATGACACCGAGCAGAACCTGTTCAATTTTAATTTCACCAATTAGATTCGAATGATCGCAATTGATTTCTTCCGGTTCATTGGGTCCGTACGTAGAGCTCGGGGTCACGCTTGGGGCCCTTGTCGAGGCCAGCCTCCTCGACCTTGGAGGAGCTGTAGAAGCGGCGCGGGGGAGCGCGAAGGAAGGACTGGCGGGCGAAGGCCCGGCGGGAGGCCATAGCAGCAATTGAAGACATTGTGATGGGTTTGCGAGGAGCGGACGTGTGTCTGCGAGGACTGTGGGGGGTTGGTGGTTCGAATGGGTCTTGAGGGAGGAGGTGGGAGAATCGGTGGGCGTCGGACGTATGATGTTGCCGGCGCATCATCAGGTGACATTTCGTTGGCCAGCTTCCGGTCGGCTGCTGACTCAGCCCGCGTGGTTGGCCTGACACTTTTTTCATTGTGCTGGCCTGTATGCCTTACTGCCTGACTCACTGCCTGAAGCTAGTACTTAACCAGTTAAGCTCCGAGACTAAACTCAAGCTGGACTGGTTGGTTAGGCTTTCCTTCTTCCCCCCCAATCAGTCATCATACGGTATCGATTGCGATAAACCCTCGTGTTTGCTCTGCGCATGCCATCCACTTGCCCGGCTCTGAGGTGTCTGGGGTCTTCCATCCTCACTTCGGCCATCGCAAGTCTTGGGTTTCGGCTTGCGACCGTGATGTGACGTGATTCGCGCGTCTTGCAATCACTGCAACTTTCCTCCCAAAGGTTCGTCGTTTGACTCTCTCCCTTCCCGCGTGCCGACAGGGGGAGAAACCGGTCTGGATCCCGTCTCTTAGATGAAGCTAACTGAGCACTGTCCAATATAGGTTGCTTACATTCTTTTTCCTCATCTTAATACCAGTCTACCTCAATATACGTCTTTTACATTTCTTCGTCACTCCTTCACTTTATTCCTACCGATAACCTCACTCACCGCGCACCCGTGATCACTGACGACGCTCCGTCCATTCAACCCGAATCGCTTCATTCCTGTCTGGCCACAATATGTTAGATTGCTGTGATATATGAGTAGAAATCTTCCATCCACATTCAACGACATGCCTCTATCTTCCGCGATTTCGGAGACCAGCGACACGCCTGCCTCGGCGCCCCCGCAACATGTTCTCGGTATCCCGCGACCCCCTTCTGTGGGAGGAATTTCGTCCCGGGTGACGGACATGGCGTCAGATGACGGAGAACAGTCCCAGACATATACCGGAGTTTCGTCGCATCCCCCGCAATCCCGAGCGTCGGCTCCTCGACGAGGACCCCCGCCTGCCAGGAGCTCTATCACATCGACCAGTCAATGGACTAGGCCAGGGAGTGCTAGTAGCAAGCAGAGCCGGTCACACATTCCTTCGCTCGCTGCGCAAGGTTTCTTCCGTCCTATGTCTTCTCAGCGACTCCAGGCTCATCGAGGTCGGCCTATGACAAAGGGGACCATGACCGACACGTCGGAGGAGTGGAACGACCATACGAGTCAGAACAGGCAAAGCTTGATTTCGAATAGCACGATACCGCAAGGGTCCATTCCTCCGACAGAGCAAGAAGCTCCTCCTTCGAGAGGCACAGAGTTCACGGACCCTATCATCCCTGACCGCAACACCTCGAATGCTAGTCCTATCGGTAACACCACGGGAAGGAGTCAAGGCGAGAGCGCCAAACTTCTTTACGACAGGGAGAGGGCTTATAAGATCCAACAACCTCATCTCAACCTTGGGGGAAATTATCATGGCTCAAATGAGCCTGTCAGCCCCCACCGGTCGACGCTTTCTTTCCTCTCTCTGCAGAACAGGAATCAGGGACATGACAGTAGCCGTGACGTACGGGCACATGAGAGGCTTTCGTCGGCCGGCTCTACCCCTGGATCTATCGAAAAGACCCCTCAGGCCGGTACAAGCAAAGGTCGTCTGGGCAAAAACTTCGAATATTTCGTCGGCAACACCATTTTCTTCGGCGGAGGAAGGCTCCAGAACGCCAGGGATAAGCCCGTCAATATCGCTACAGCAATCTTCGTGCTTGTACCTACGGCTCTGTTCTTCGCTTATTCGTAAGTACTTCATCTCTCTCTCTTGGTAAGATCGAGTCGCTAACGCTGCATAAGAGGTCCTTGGCTCTGGCACAATATCTCGCCCGCCCTTCCGATATTGTTTGCTTATCTATTCTATTTATGCTTCTCATCTTTTATACACGCTTCAGTCGTTGATCCTGGGGTAAGACATAGATTCATGCGAGACAATGCAGCGTCCTTGCTAACAAGGCCGCTCCAGGTTATTCCTCGCAATCTTCATCAGCTGCCACCTCCGGATCCCGCAGACGATCCGTTGGCGATTGGCCCACCAACCAACGACTGGGTGATGGTGAAGCTGGCGACATCTGACGTTGCAGCCATGGATGTGCCTGTGAAGTACTGCAAGACCTGCTGTATCTGGCGTCCTCCCCGCTGCTACCATTGCCGTGTATGCGACAACTGTGTTGAGACTCTTGACCATCACTGCGTGTGGCTCAACAATTGCGTTGGCCGCCGTAACTACCGGTATTTCTTCACCTTTGTGGCGTCCTCCACCCTCCTTGCTCTGTTCTTGCTTGGTGCCAGTCTCGCGCATATCTTGGTGTATAAATCACGAGAGCATGTCAGCTTTGGCACAGCCATTGATAAATGGAGAGTTCCCTGGGCTATGGTGATCTACGGTGCGGTTGCCGCACCATACCCGGCCTCTTTATGGGCTTACCATCTCTTCCTGGTCGGTCGGGGCGAGACCACCCGAGAATATCTGAACTCGCACAAGTTTGCGAAAGCTGACCGCCATCGGCCCTTCACTCAGGGCAATGTCTTCCGGAACTGGTTGTCCGTTTTCCTGCGGCCGCGGCCCCCAACGTATATGCAGTTCAAGCAGCCTTATCAGGAAGGGGACCAGCGCCTGAGCACGATGAAGCGCAAGTATCTCCCTCGCAATGTCGAGCCCCAGAACGACATTGAGATGCAACAAGTGCCTCCCCCTTCTCAACCCCAATAGTGAACGGTGGTGATTGTTGTTGTTTGACCTCGCTGCTCCATCCCACCTCCGTTTCGTATGAATATCCTTCTTGCCCCATGAGGGGGCTATTTTTTCTTCTTTGCTTCTTCTTCCCCATTTTCCAAGATAGTAAGATCTTAATGGATGTTACCGCCACATTGCCATTCTTTCATTGAACCAATTGGGCTCACCGGATATACGTTGACATACCCCACCCTACTTCCTGTTCATGTCTTGATTTCGAGCGAGTTGCACGTATGAAGCAGCCGTTGGCTACGTTCTCTTCACGATATTCATTATTTTCCTTTTTTTTTTCCCATATTTTTCCCCACTTGCTACTATATATACGCGTACGTCCATTGGGTGTCTGTTGTTGATTCTGTTGCGGCAGAACAGGTGAAACATGATATCGGAGGCGATTTAGGGCTATGTACAATATCCAGATCCTGGACGAGAGATAGACCATGAAGATCCAAAATAGATAGCCGTTGGCGCCAAAGAAGCGTGGGAACCCGAAGAGGTGAGCCCGGAAAACCCGAGGCTGGCGATTATATGCCTCATAGTAGCTGCGAAGAATAGTCCGGGGTGTAGAAGACCGGCCTGTCACTGAGATGCGCGAGGCCGGGTGGGGGGGTTGGAAGAGGACAAAGCTGGGGCTTGTCGCCCGTGGAATCCTGGTCAGAACCGGAGAAGAGGAACAGGTTGAAGATGAAACGAGGAGGTTTCGGCAAAGAGGCGAGGGGATCTACTTATTGTCTGGCACTTGGTCCTGACTGCATTCCGCGGCGCCGTCGTCGGGGGTTGCTGACGATACTACTACGGCCCTCCTCGACCCTCTCTCTCTGTCTTTCTCTCTCTCTCCGCACCCTCTCTCCCTCTCCCTCTCTCTCTTCGCTTCCTCTTCCTCCTCCTCTTTCCTCCCCTGCCTTCTCCCCCATTCCCTTGTCCATGATCCTCTCCTCAACCCCGGTTAAGCATTCAGACACGTTCTCTGTGTCGGCTTTTTTACACCGTCCATCCCGCTTCCGGGGTTAAGATATGAACCTTGAGGAGGTATAAGGCTCACCACCGATAGCTGTCTCCTCCTGGGCTAAGGAGAGAACCACTGACCACCCTTTTCCCCCCCGTAACATTGGCAGCACGCCAGGTCAGCCACACCCCTCGGAAGTTGACAACCACCACCCTCCCGCGTTAAATTCCAGCAATCCATCCCTGGAGGCATCAACTTATCCGAGCTGTTTGGTGGTCCTGCCCCTCGTACCAAAACCTAGTTCTCACCGCATATCCTTTTCCCGCGGCCCTTGGGGATGGAAGACCGACTTGGTTCCTCCGGCGCGTCTCCCGCGACTCCCGCAACCCTTTCGGACCTCAAGAAGCACACGCACGAGCACCTCGAAGGCACAATGGCCTTCGAATATACCGAACAACTCCTCACTCCCGAAAATAGTCGCTCCGAAACCTCCAGCAACAACGATAACGCGTCCACCGACGAGAAACCCACCCTCCGCCGACGATCTACACGTGTAACACGCGCTTCTTTACGAGGGGCAGTCCAGCTCGGTGACCATCTGGACGCGGATAACCATGGATTACCTTCTCCGGCGGATGAAAATGATCGTACGGTCCCCGGTGATGTCCTGGCCAGTGCAGTCGAGGCTGCGGAAGTGAAGAGGACGAGGTCGTCCAAGTCCTCCTCCCACCTCCGGCACAGCATAGCGGTTATGGAAACTGCCTTATGGAGCGAGACAACACTTCCGCAGAATAAGGAGGATGGTGACGACCACCCAATGGCGCCAGATACCCCCGTCTCCAAATCGTCTCAGGAACCGCAGCCCGGTGACCTCGGCGTGTCTCTACAACAACGGACGTTACGAAAGCGCGTGGAAAAGGTGTTGACCCAGGAAGACAACAAGGACCAAGAAAAGGCTTCTGCGCCTGCCAAACCTGAACGTCGCAATTCAGTACGTCGGTCAACCCGGTTAAGTATACTTGACAAGGCTTCTGGCCTTGTTGGCCGGGCTACCAGCGTTTTGGGAAAACGCTCGCGTGATAAGGTAGAAAAGAGCAGTGGTCCGGATCGACGTGCCAGTCTACGGCCGCGAAATGTTGCCGCTCCCAAGGAAGAACCCCCCGCGCCTACCCCGAGTGCTCCAGCTCCCAAGAAGAGACGGGTCTCGGAAAGCGATCTCCCGTCCAAGGTTGAGTCTACAGAGGAGCCGCCGCAGGAGCAATCCGCCCCAGCCGAACCAGTCCCGCGCTTGAAGCGGAAGCTGTGGCTGGCGCATGGTCTTTACACCGGACAAGAACATACCGACTCTCCGCCAGTTCAAAGCAGGAATAGGAGTAGGCGGAAGAGTCACCCTCAGTCTCAGACTCAGTCTCAGCGGAAACTGCTGCCGTTGCCTATGTTCGCAGGCGACCGACTCTTGAAGAATGGACGCGATTTTCAGCTGCCTTTCGACGTCTTCTCGCCGCTGCCTCCTGGTCAACCCAAACCTGACGAGTGGAGAAAGACCAACAAGAGTACGTATTCTAAGCATGACTGATCAGATGGCCATTGCTAACACAGTCTATAGACGTCTTTGTGGGAGAGGCGTCCAGTATATGGCGGGCAAACAAGCACTGTGAACTGTCCAAGTGCATGTGCACGCCAGAAACGGGCTGCGACGAGGAATGTCAGAACCGCTACATGTTCTACGAGTGTGATGAAGGTAATTGCGGAGTGGGTGAGGAGTGCGGTAACCGCAGTTTCGAGGAGCTCAAACAAAGGACCAAGGCTGGAGGCAAGTACAATATCGGCGTGGAAGTCATCAAGACGGCGGATCGTGGGTACGGTGTTCGGAGCAACCGCACCTTTGAGCCCAACCAGATTATTGTGGAGTACACGGGTGAGATTATCACCCAAACGGAGTGTGAGAAACGAATGCGGACGATCTATAAGCATAACGAGGTTCGTTCGTCCTTGTCACGGTTCTTCCACGGCTATAACCGCTAACGGCGCTTCAGTGCTACTATCTGATGTACTTTGATCAGAACATGATCATTGATGCCACTCGAGGGTCCATTGCCCGCTTCGTTAATCACTCATGTGAGCCCAACTGTCGGATGGAAAAGTGGACTGTCGCTGGGAAACCGCGCATGGCTCTCTTTGCTGGCGATCGTGGCATCATGACGGGTGAGGAGCTGACCTATGACTACAACTTTGAGTGAGTTATTCTGTCCGCGGATTTTATAGCCATTAGCAATGTTAATTTTGGAATCTAGCCCATATTCCCAGAAGAATGTCCAGCAATGCAGATGTGGCTCATCAAATTGCCGTGGCATTCTGGGCCCGAGGCCCAAGGAGAAGGTTCAACGTGCGAAAGAGCAGAAGGTGGAGAAATCGAAGAAATCTGCCACCAAACGGGCAAATGGCAAGGCAGCCGGCACCAAGCGCAAGTCCGGTGATGCGCTCGACGAATCATCTTCGCGCGCCAACAAGAAACAGAAACTTGCGGTAGCCAAGTCAATCAGGTCCGGTGTCAAGAAGGCGGTTTCGCGAGCGCGTGCAACCGTCTCTAAATCCACTGCTTCTCGAACAAAGCAGGCAAAGAAGGAAAAAGGCAGCCCTGTCAAACAAAAGACCGCGAAGGCCGCGAAAACGACGAAATCACCGACGAAGAGGACAGCAGCGAAGAAGGATGAACCTAAAGGAAAGAGTAACATCAAGCTCCCTAAGGTTAAAGCCACGAAGGTCAAGGCAAGGGCCACAGTGCCCAAGAAGACAGCCCAGGCCGCGAAAGGCAAGACTCAGGATGCCGCTCCATCATCGTCGAAATTGAGCCGCCCTTCTGCAGCCACCAAAGCGAAAATCCTCGCTGCGGCCAAAGGTGCAAACCCACGGAGGAAATCGACGAAAAAGGAAGATACGAAGACAGATCATAAGACTGCCGCGAATAAGGCTCAGAAGAAAACGCAAGCACCCAAACAGGATCCCAAGTCCAAAGGTGCGATAAAGCGTACGGGCACTGCAGCCACGAAAAGCAGTAAAAAGTGATCGATCTAGGCTGCTTCATGGCGCCATTACTTCGAAGAGCATAGGGAAGGACAGCCTTTGTCCTTCAGGAACCTTGAACAGTATCTTGGACGACCACCTTTTTTCTGTAGTGAACCGAATCCTCCATCTATCTCTTCTGGCTTAACCTTACTTTTACTCCAACTTATTACCCCTTTTTGTTTTCTTCTTTGGGGCTTTTCCGGGCCTGCTTTCTGGCCCGCAGACTCTTTTCGTTTCTCTTTCCTCTTCTATTTCTTTTCTTGAGATATAATTTCGGCAGCTTCTCCCTCTTATTAGGCCCTAATGCGATAGGTAGGTAGGTAGGTATTTCACTATGCTTCTCATGATCCTTGCTGGATTTACTGGATGCTTCGGTTTGCTTATTGCCTCATATGCCTTTATTTGTTCAATTTCTTCATTTATTTTTCCTTCCTCTTTTCTTTTTTCTTTTCTTCTTTCCTTCTTACGATGGCGCTCTTCGAACTGTATCACCCCCTTTTGTTATTGTTATATCCTTCCTCATCTCCAGTGTTATGTTTGATGTAATGTTTCTGGTTTCCTTTTTCCCTTTTTTCCCTACCAACTCATATCAATTCACGAAGCAGGTCTGGATTAGGACGAAATGTTTGATGCGCGGATGTGCTTCCCCGGCTTTGATTTGCTTGTTATGTCTTGTATGGATCGACTGTGTAGCTAGCCTGTTTTCCCTTTTTGTTCTCAAGCTCCAGTAGCATTTCTTTTCATTTATTTGATCAGAATAGGATATTCATTCATTCCCGATTACTGCTATTGTGTTGCGTGCTCTTGTAGTCTACTCTTGATTGCTTGGAACTTGTTGAGGGTGGACGCGGCATACGCTGGTTGCTGGAATATATCTCACGTAGATGCGGCGGGACTAAACCATCATCATCACGCAGGCATCTGCCCATAGACTTGAGAAATTGAATAGTACCACGTGTGTAACTCTTAATTTATTTAATCCAGCAGTTCAGTTAATATATTCTAGTATTATTGTATATGTCATATTCAGGTATACCTGGCAGTGTCATGACACAATAGAATCATGCTAGTTGTCCGCTGAATGCCTACCACGATCCATCCCGTGTTAGCTCAGGAGAGTTAGTAGTAAGTAACTAGTAGATAGTAGTAGATGGGAACGTCAATTGAGAACTTCTCATTTAAGGTGACTTAATCAAACATCTTCCGGTTGATATCAACCAGTACTGTATGGAAGTACTGGATTGGATCCAGCTCATTACTGTACGTATATACTTGTAGTGGTTAGAAGGATAGATCTAGTAGGCTGTAAGTAGTAATGCAGGCGAATCGTGGAGACTTCTTCAATTAGTATCGTGTGTAGAATTCTTTCATTCTCTACTGAATACTACTTGTTGATATGTAGACACCAGCGGATTTGCCTGTCATACGCACACTACTATCGGAGACTATATGCCATGTGTACTGTAATACGCTACACCAAACAAGAGACGTGAAAGTAAAAGTTCCTTTAAGAAAAGAGAAGAAGCGGGGAAAAGATATACTCCTATGATACAATAACAGAGAAAAAGAAATATAAGAATAGTAGGCCCAATGGCCAGGCCATACATATACCGTGTATGTTAAGTTTCACAGTTATGATAAATAAATAAAATAATTCATTCCGGGTCCCCGTGATTGCACGCCAATAGCACCGTTTCCTAGCTTGCGCCTGAACTGTAGGTTTAAAGAGAAATTTCTGGTTCTAAGAAAATAGAAGAAAAGGAAAGAAAAGACGAGTATGTCTTCTAAGCGTGTCCGCCTGTATATTTTATTGGATATGGGCATGAACATCTCATGCTGTCTTGGTATCAGCTGGTGGTTGTTGTTGCTCTTGCTGCTCTGCCTCCTCGGGTTTGGTCGTCTCCTGGGCTGGTTGCTCGGGGGTGGGCTCGGGCTCAGGCTCAGGCGCAGGGATGGGAGGTGCAGAGGGCGCTTCGGCTGAGGTGGGTTCGGCTTCAGAGATAGGTTCCGGCTCCTTGGATTCAGCCTCAGCCGGACCTTCTTCGGTTGGTTTTTCTTCAGCTGGGGGCTGTGGCGCCGGTACTGGCTCTGGCTGTTGCTGTGGTGCCTCTGTAGCAGGCAATGCGGGCGGCGTAGGTTCTTTGGGTGGCTGGGGTTCCTCTGGTTGTTGAGGTGGGACGAGGGGTGTTCCTTGTTCTTCTACCTTGGGAGCGGCTTGTTCCTCTGCGTTAACGGGAACATGCTCCTCTAGTGCTTTTGGTGGTTCATCTGCTTGTGGCTCTGATGGTAGCTCAGCAGGCGCCTGCTCGGTCTGTGTCTGTTCGGTCTGCTCGGGCTGCTGCTCGGTTGCAGTCTGGGGTGTTGGCTCTGCAGACTGGGCTGGAACTTCCTCAGAAGCTTGTGATGGGGCTTGCTCTTGGGCTTGCTCTTGCTGCAATGGTTGCGCAGGCTGCTCGTATTGCTGAGTCCCTTCTGGTTGCTCCGATTGCTCGGGCTGCGCAGACTCCGCTGGCTCTACAGGCTCCGCCTGCACAGGCTGTTCCGGCTGAACAGGTGGCTTAGGTTGCTCTGGCTGCTCTGACTGCACAGGTTCAACTGCCTGTACAGGCTCTTCCTGCATAGGCTGTTCTGGCTGAACAGGTGGCTCTAATTGCGTGGGTGGCTCTGGCTGAGCAGGTGATTCCGACTTCACTGGCTGTTCCACGACCGGCTCGCCTGCCGGCTCTTCCACTTGCTCTGCTGGAGCTTCGGGGAGTTGTTCGATAGGCTGCGGTGCAGGAGCTTCGGACGGTTTTTCGATATGCTGTTCGTCGAGTGGTTCAGCGGGCACTGCAGCTGGTTCAACGGCAGTCTCTGCAGCCACGGTGGTATCCTCTGCTGCTTGCGTCTCAAGCTCCCCTGGCTTGTCCGCAAGGGGTTCTGCTGTTTCCGTAGCAGGAGGCTGCTCAATGTGGGAAGGTGCATCCATTTCCATCTCAATGTCTGTCCCTCGGTTGTCACCCTGTTCCTCGCCCGGCGGCTGGCTCAGACTCGCTTCCAAAGTACCCAAGAGGTCAACTTCCTTGTTCTCTGCAACAACATTACTAGTCTGAGGAGCTGCTTGCTCGGGAACCGGTTGTTCCGCCGGTGGTTCCACCGGCGCTTGATCCTGTGCGGTTTGTTGGAGAGGTTCAACATCCTCCATGGTCGTATCCATAATCTGGTCATCTTGTGCCGGCGGCTGAGCAGTATCAGTACTTGTCTTATCTGGCTGCACTGGCTCATCTACAGGCTCTTTATCGACAGGCTGCTCTGAGGTTGGCACGACTGACGATGCTTCCGCAACGGGAGGTTGGGGGGCTTCCTGGGATGGCAAGGTCGGAACATCTTCAGCGCCAGGAGCGGGCTCCTGTTGCTGAGTAGCTGGAACTGACTGAGGGGTTGCAGATACACTTTCCTCAGGACCAGGTATTGAGGGGTAAGCTTCGGTCATCTCCACATCTTCTTTCTGTCCTGATGCCTCACTCGTCTGCCCGGGAGCCTCTGGTGTGGGCTGGATAGCAGCAGCTTGTGAAGGAGGTTCAGCAGCGACTGATGGTTGATCTGGCTGAGGGGGTGGGATAGCTGGCTCTGCAACTGTCTCTGGAGCCGGTGCTGGAGCCGGTTCTGGAGCAGCTGAAGGAAGCTCAGGGGTTGGCAACGCCGCCTCTGTGGAATCAGCTTTGGCAGCTGGTTCAGTTGCCGGGGCCGGTGCGGGCACAGGCGTCGAGTCGGTCGGCGGCTCAGTGCTGGGACGCTGAACTGGAGTTTCCGGAGTCTTCGCCTCTAGCATAGACTCATCACCCTCGTCGCTCTCATCGCCCTCGTCGCCCTCCTCATCGTCCTCTTCTTGTCCATTCTGGTCACCAGACATGCGGGACGCATCCCCGTCCTTGGCATATTCTGCAGCGCCATCCACTCCGGAGCCATTGGAACCATGGACCGTGGCGGCATCCGCGCCATCGCCAGGAGCAAACATGACCTTCTTTCTCCGTCCCTTTCCAAAGCCCTTCGCCTTGCGCTTTGGGGGAGGAGGCCGTCTTTTCGGAGGAGTCATGACAGCTGCGGAGTTTGTATCTGCGACTACCACACCCTCGGCGTTGACAACCCCAACTCCCTCAATGACCGTACCGGGCGCTGGCGCCTCAGGAGTCACAGTGACCGCGCTGTTTTCAGCTGAAACTTGAGACCCATCAGTGATCTCCCCCTCAATCTTGTGTCCCTCCGGTACCCAGGCTTCATAAATCGAGATATTTCCGGTCGCCGGATCGACCTTCTTGAACTTGGTCCTCCTCATCGGCGCAGGAGCATTATTTCCATCCGTAGACCCAGCAGCAGCACCGTATAGAGATGGTAAACCCGGTCGTCGTTTGGCGAGGAATTCAACTTCTGATGATTCTAGGTGTCTCGGTACTGCGGACCACTTGCGCGTGACGAAACTGCGTTCGGTGCTCTGGATAAGGGGCTGTTCCTCTCCATCAGTCGCTTCTTTCTCTTCGTCTTCGGAGTCTTTTGACGCTTGGCGGATGTAGATGCATCCGGCTCGCGCAGCTCGCAGGAGGGCTCTGCTCATGGGACTCAACAGGTGACTGTCTCGGGGCATTGGGTGTTCTGGGATGGTTGACTTCCCCCCCGGACCCTGCACGACAGCTTCTGTGCCTTCGGCCTTGGGGACTTGCGAGACGGTCTGAGTTTGACGAGTCCAGCGTCGTACAGGGAGCCCCTCGAAAACATCGTGATCGATTTGACTTCTGTTACGGTTGGCGCCATCGCCGAATTGGCGACCAGAGCGAGAGGATCTAAACTGGAGGATTGTCAGTACATATCAGCGATGGCATCGTTCTATACCGCATGGGCAAGCTTCGGTGCAATGGTGAGTTGATCGATAACGGGGTCGGGGTCGGGGTCGTGGCTCGCGGCGAGAAGCTTACAGTAGGTGGCATGATGAGCGCCGGACCTGCAGTCTCACTCTTCGGAGAATAATCAGGATAACGGCAGAGAGCCCCTCACCCAGTGGATCTACGGAGCTGGGTGTGGTTGGCCGATTGAAAGGAAAGGGACTCTTTCTGGAGGGCGAGGCTGTTTGGAGGTGATGGTTGATCGGAGCAGCGCGATGCGATCGCTCAGCGAAACGCCGCGCCGCCGCCCTTGCACGTGACTGGGGTCACTCAGAACTCTCATAGTATCGAACAAACATGATAACTACCACCCACTACGGTTTCAGATGGGATGGATTGGACTAATGGAGAGCGAAGAATAGTATTCCAGATGAGTCAGAGTAAGAATCGCTACCTAAAGCGCAGTGGCTTTCAATAAAAATACAGAACCCCTTCGATCTATGCTATTCCTTCATCTTCGGGCCATCGGCTCAAATGGCCCCAAATGATATTGATATCGTCTTGGTGCTGGATTCCCCTCAACTCCGTACTCTCGCTGCGAAAAAACAAATGAACCCCGTTGGGCGTTTAGTCCCAACTATTTACACGTCAGCATGGCCCAAAAGGTTTGAATAACGAAGGATGCATCTTACCCAGTATCCTTCTGGCGAACAATGTTCCCTTCCGTGCCAGTCTGCTTACCCTATCGATTGATTTTAGCTTCATGGCAGTCACAGACAGGTTCCCCGGATACTCACAGTCTTCTGACCCTCAACAACCAACCGATCTAGCTGGTAGAACTGACTGATAACGGTTTGCCTCTGCAAAAGTATTAGCAGCTCGTTCACTAGCGTCAACCCCCGCTTTGACTCAGAGCCCACAGCCTGCGTAGTAGAGGCAAACGCGGGCACATCTAATCATGTCCATCCGAGAATATTTACTGACCTTCATCATCCGCAAGTTCTGTAGTCCATCCTGGATCAACTCCTGTATCCGTCGGTCCTCGGATTCCTTCTGGTGCTCGCGGAAGGCATCCAACGTGCGCCGGCGGGCATACTCGCGGAAGTTGTAGTTCGAGAACTGGGAGGATTGACGGAGCAAAGAGCGGAACTGTCCGCATGAGATAGACTGGTTAGCCCTAATGCCACTGCGATACAAGGGTAGGAGGGATTTCGCGCAATCTAGTTTCAGCAGGGTGGGCATACCAGAGACCGGACCTGGAAGGCCGTTTCACGCTGCATGGTCGGCACAGACATAATGGGCAAATATGAGTGGAGAGATGCGATTATCAACTTTGTATGACTGGGAAAATAAGACGGGCTGAAGATGATGTTGTTGATGATGCTGAAAGGGACTCCAGATACAGGGATTCTGGATTTCTAATCGGTTCTCGGCCGCTAACGTGGGGGTACAGCTAGGCGATGCTATTCGCGTTAGCTTTTCAGGTCCCAAAGAGGAACAGCCTGAGTCGTCTTTACCGAGGACGTCCGACTCCGAGAGGCTTTTCGCAGAAGGGTTGAGATGTCCTCGGACAGCGCAAAGCAGGTGGCGTACCGGTCAAGAGTCGAGTCGCTCTAACAGCCAACTAGATCAGGGCTTCTATCCCAGAAAGAGCCGTAAGAAAGTTATTCTGACAAGCAGAATAAAAGAAAGAAACGGATGCTTCCGGATGGGGATGCAAGCGGAGCGTTGAAGGGATAATCGCTGGCAGGCTCTCCGGGAAATTCTTTTGCTTTTGGGCTCGGAGGCGCGATGACGGAGTTATCGGACTCGCCGGCCGACCTCCACGGGGGATCTTCCCCTCGGCTTCCAGAATGGCTCCGCTCTTCGCCAACAACCACGGTTGAAGCCTTTACTCGCAATTGACTGTTTTCTTGCTGGACAAAGTGTCCCTGCGCTGCAGATCGTTCGCTGTGATCACCTTCAGATCCTAATGGCGCAAATCCCCACTCCGCCTGCCTCCCGTTCAGCTTCACCAGCTCCGGATTCCGAACCCAAGCAAACTCCTGTCGCAGATGCCCGCGAGGATTTGCTGCAGTCGCTAGACAATCTTTTGGAGCGGTACCTGCACCTTTTAGATCAGCATCAGAAGCTGCAAGCTGAGTTAGGGTCGAAGCTCTCTTCGGTAAGTCATATCCCAGAGGACAATTTGAGGCCTTGTTGCGGTAAGCGATACTGAGAACAGTAGGGGTTCTTCTCTCTTGCCCAAGCCAACTATACGTGTCCACCGGGCCGACACTATGGGGCAGATTACTATGATGAGCGCATGAAGGCGACAAGAAGAGTGTGAGTCTGGTATATGTATGTACCTTTCCAAGACGCGGTGCTAACTGGTTTCATCCTGATCAGGACTCTACAACCTCCTACCAACCCGGCTGAGGAACGCTACATAACGGAGACGGACAACTCACTACCGACAGACACCGACAATGACGATTCCAAATCTAGTATATTTGATATCGAACCGGTTACCGTTCAACATCCAGAGGACGAATCCGAGACGGACGAGAAACCCGAATCAGATGCCGATTCGCCTGAGGAAGATCGGCCACAACGCGAAGAGGGAGATGGCCAAGCTGGTGAACTCTCGACCACATCCGAGTCCCCTCAAGAAGAGCCCGATGTGGATGCGAAGCCCAAAAGATCAAGAAAGAAGAAGTTCCGTTCTTCGGATCCGATCCACTGGTACGGGATCCTGGTGCCTCCTTATCTTCGCAGCGCCCAAAAGTCCTTCACCGAGGCCGTTGAGAGTCGCCTACCCCAGCTCGCTAGTGTTATAGTTGAGATGCGCATCGTGGAGAAGGAAGTCAATCGAGTGCGGAGTAAGCTGGGCCAGGTGTGAGGGAGTCTGGTTGTGCTCGCAAGGTCCTCTTCTAGGCCACCATGCGCCAAATGTAAGGTGGTGGTGGTGGTGGTTGTAGCGATGAATAAAGCTCAAGTTAGGATCGATTTTCTGCCTGTCGCAAGGATCGTGCCTCAGGCAGTCGCCACTCAATATCTTGAATCTAGACTTGTGCATATAAATAGACTACATGCAAGCTACGGCAGTTGATAAGTAAATAAATGAAGAGCAATATGGACAGAAGAACAGATGCACCCACTCTCGGTACATATTTCCAGAGTCTATTTTTGTTTCTGCCTTGGAAGGTCCAACGCATTCGAACAGGGAGCTTTTATTACTTACCAGATGGGCGGGTATACTAAACTGGGTAGTTTTAGGATGGAGTATGGAGCAGAGTCGTTGACAGAATACACCATCCCAGAGGATACCCACTCTGTTATGGTCCGAACCAATTTTGGCGACTTCGACAGATTGAATAAGGATATGATAAAAAAGAACTACGGTACCAACGAACTCCCCTGTCAGACAACCGCCGGCTTTCCTCGAGTGGAAACGGGGTGGTGGTTGTTGCAGGAGTGGCTGCAGGATGGCTGGCCGTTGAGCCTCGCATCCCAGTTTGTTTCCAAATTCCTCCCTTTGCTGCCCCCTCTGCCTCTTTCCTTTCTTTCACCCTCGGATGGTTCTCTTAACCATCTCACATATCCTTCTAGACTGCCCTTCAGGCCATGGACAAAATAGGAGGATACTACTATTATCCCGCCCACCAGCCGTCCAGGTCCTCATATGATGCTACCCGCTTAATCTATTCCCGTATCCCGACTATTGTGCTTTTAATCTCCGGGACTCACTCACTAAACCGCAACGAGTTTTCTTCCCGACGGACAATAAGACGGGTTCTACGATCTAAGAGTGCTAGTTGGCAACGGCGCAGCTGCTGGTCACTACGGATGTCCGTCCTTCAATGCCGAGAGTCGAGAGAGAAAAATGTGCAATTGGAAAGGGCGCCATCGCAAGCCTGATTGAGTTTGCTCGCTTCGTCACTATCACCAATCTATAACGGTCGTGAGACTCGGTTAGTTTGAAGGCGCTGATATGTAGTGGAGCTATCCGAGCCAGGATCAAATGCGACTCGCGGATGGTCTGCGCTGAATGACCAGGCCTCGCTCGCTTGCTGGGCTCGTTTATTGGTCGCTGCACACGGGAGGAGCTTCGTCGACGGTTTCATATTGAAATCTCAGGGCCGCAGAGGAGCGGTACTCCTGTTCAAGGTGAGACCTAGTCCATCCACCATCCTCTTGGTCGTCCCGTTCCTGACCAATGGCCTTGCGCACAGTCAAGGTCGGGTCCTGACCCGCCAGCTTTTAGCTTCTCCGGTTATTCAGTATCCTCATTTTCGAGCCAATCTAAGGCCCTCGCCTACCCTGTCCCTCTTCTGTAGCATGGCATTGCGATTCATGGGACTCCGCTTGCCGTCTGCATGCAGACTCCGTACACTGGAATGGCGATGGGAAACCAGGGAATTGTCATGCATATGAGGTTGGTAGGCCGTGATAGGGGAATGCTATTCGTCACATTGACTGTCGCCCAAACGAAGAGGCTTCAGCTCAGGATGTCTGGCTGGTCAACCACCTCTTAAATGCATTGTTTACGTGGGAGGCTGGGTTTCGCGCGCCGAGTCTCTTAATAGTAGCCAGCATTATCACAAACGGCTTTCCGTGCCTGTCCCCGCGCTATTGGCGCTGGATCAACTCCACTTGCGACTGAACTGGTCCGACTCTAAAACGTCTGCGCCCTTATCCGGTCCTAATGCCTGCGCATAGGACGGAAATGAAGCACTTTAATATCAACGTCTGACTTTTGGTTCGCCGGGTGCTGGAAAACCCTTGGCCTTGCTTTCCCAACCGTGTGAGGCGTTATCGCCCAAAGGACTGAGTCTGAGTCTGTTTTGACGCGACACTGGGGTTGTTCTCTTTCTTTCTGCTTTCCAGTCGTTCGCTCCTTTCCCCAAAGTAAGGGCTAGAAGCTCTTTCTTTCTATTCTCCTTGTCATTCTTTTTTCTGTTTTATGACTCCGTAAGTCCGAAAACATTGCTTTTCCCCAGTGGTCCGGTGTAACTAACAAGTGTCTAACTATGCGCTCAGGGGTTTCACGGACAGCCAAAGCTTTCGCTGGGACTTTGGGGGGTCTGATATTATACTTCCTTGACCTGGGTCAATCTTCCTTCATTCTTCTTTTGAACAAAAGACCCTTTTTTTTTTCTCCTGTGCGGTATGCAAGCTTCTGATCTGACATTCTACGATGTCTGAGATTGTAGCATCGACTTACTTATTCCCTCCAGAGGCATTGAGTGCCATTGCAACTCTTGTTGTCAACCACTTTCCTTTGATTGAATTCTGAGCCCATTGCTTTAAGCCTAGACTGTTGCACGGTGTCCGACAGTTTCAAACAATTGGCTTATCTCAGATTTATTTTGCTATCTTCCTGCATCTGCTTTTGACTTTCGTCTCATACCCAGTCGAGCTGGATTTCGCTCATCGACCAGCTCTCTGGTGTTGAAGAAAAGATATCTCCACTACCAAAGGTTGTACCGACTCCCATCCTATGCGCTGGCCGGCCTTACTTCCCGTATTGTGCAAAAGTATCCCATGACTGCTAGAAGCTCTACAACCTAGCACTGATATCACATGGATCCTCAAGCTGAAAAGACAGGCTCCGGGCCCCAGCAAGATGGGGACGTTGCGCGAAAAGGATCAGTCAAGCGAGCGCGGGAGATGCTTCAGGCTGGAAAGCGTCCTGAGAGAGCGCCAGAGGAACCAGCGCCTTCATTTCGCATCAATCCAGCCCATATGACACAATGGCCTCTGCCCGACAACGCCCCTCTGCCGCCGAATATGGCCAACCCTCAAGCAACCTTGGTCGTTCCGAAAGGGCCTCCGCCAGTGCGCCCACCTCGTCCGGATTGCCCGTCCCCTTCCGTCTACTCGGAGAGAAGCATGTCCGACGTCCCACCAGCACCTAGCCCGTTGAACATCAAACGTCCAGTCCCCTCCTTTTCCCAGCCATTCCCAATCCCGCCAGGCCCGCGTCCCGCCATCAGGATCCCCATCCCTCGGCCGCCTAGCCCAGACAGTGTTGCAGGTTCAACACCTCGCGTTTCCGTCGCCACAGACGACCTCTTTCGACAGTCGGGAGTTTCCACTGTCTCGTCGATCACCGAACTTCCCTCAGTTCCTCATCCGCTTCCCCCACAGCAGCGTGTTGCGCCAGGAGCCGCTCCGAAAAAGACCGCTAGCCTCGCTCCTCCAGTGCCCGTGGCGCGACCGGGAGGAAACCGCGCCTCATCTGTTTCGCCTATCCCAGAGGAGTTACCCGACAGCCCAACCATTTCGCAAGATCACTACGGCTCTGCACAGCCGTATCCACCTAGCTGGTACTCAGGACAGGCAGAATCGGAAATCTTGGGGACGTATCTAGACGGCGAATCTGACGATGATGTGTCTAGACATTCTACTCACCAAGCCGGAGTAGCTACGGCTACGCTTCTCAGGCAAGCCAGCGTCGGGACTAGAGGAAAACCTTCCTTACGCACAATTCAAAAATCCAATGCTAGCTCGCCAGTACCGCCCTCTGAGAGGACCCCTGTGTCTGCCAGACCGACTACGTCCGGGACTACGGGCACGGAGTTTATACTGAAAGAAATATCTATAGGGCCTGATCGGAGAGATTCTATGTCATCCAGCTCAACAGGGTCTGCGCACTTCAACCTGGAGAAAGCACCAATCGTCTTGGATCTCAGCACTCAACATCCTGCCTTGGCTCGTCCATACGTTGACAATGGGGGTTTGGAAAAGGAGGTCGGAGCCCTTCCCAGGGCTGCACCAACAATGAGCGACAAACGACCAGGTGGCCGCCGGCCTCCGCGTCTCAACATGAGTGCTGTTCGTGACGCAGAGGCTCGAGGGAGCCTTACGAGTTTGCCCGACCTCATTCGACGTGCGACAAGACTTGCATCGAATCTAGAGCATGGCCGGACTGCGAGTCGAAACGATCTACTGAATGGCGGTGGTGGTTCCAGGTTCCAATGTAAGTTTGACCATGGGTGCCATTATCAGTTCAGCGACAAAGGCTAATCAGTGTTTACAGATGACGCCAAACGCAAGTCAGGATCAATCAAGAGCATTTTGGCCTCGTTTCCCCCGCCTGCTGCGACCCCCGAAGGCGGTCACTCGTCTTGGCCTTTCTTCTTCAGAAGGTCCACACTGCATCAGATACACTCCAATGAACCACCGCGAGCAGATGGAGATCAAGAGAAAGCTGCACCGAAACAACCACGCCGATGCTGCGGGCTGCCACCATGGCTGTTTGCTCTTATTTGCGTCGTGATCATCATTGTCATCCTGGCCGCCATCCTCATCCCCGTTGGTCTGCTCGTGGTGCGCCATAAGTCGAGTGGTACGAGCTGCGCAAAGACCAACCCATGTGAAAACGGTGGCGTCAGTGTCTCGAGCGGCAGCGTTTGCTCCTGCGTTTGCGCCAACGGCTATACCGGATCTCGCTGTACGATCTCTGGTGATGCCAGCTGCGTCACAACTGAAGTTGATGGTAAGAACGCCACCATGGGCAGCGAGCTTCCTCGTCTCTTTGAGTACGCGCAGCAAAACTACAGTATCCCTCTTGATGCTGTGACGATCATGGCCCTATTTAGCCAGAGCAATGTGTCCTGCACGACGGAAAACACCCTTATTTCGTTCTCTAGCGTATCAACAAGCAGCAGCAAAGCCCGCCGTGCTCTGTCTGACCCGTCCCTGGGGGAGCCCTCAATCTCCGATCACCTGCTAGCCAACCTCGAGCACCATCCCAGCCAAGCTTTATCAGAACGTACTCCCACGCAAGCTCTTGCAGCCCGCGACTCTGTCGCTACAGCGCACGGTATCGTCTTTGATGGTGACCCACCAAGTAGCACAGGAACGGCAACCGCAACAGCAACCAAAACAAGCCAAGAGTCCTCAGCCACGCAAACTTCAACGTCTAGTTCAAGTACGACGACGACCACTACTTCTTCGTCCTCCAATTCGACAACCGTCACATCAGAAGTCCTTGATTTTGCCCGTGTCGCTATTCTCTACATCCTAGAAGAAACTGGTACCCTCTCCGCGGCCGAGTTCTCAGAAAGCAATATCCAATCCTACCTTTCTGATGATTATTCGGACACGAAGAGCCACAGCTTCACCATCGACCTCACTCCCTCCGGCGTGATAGGCAATTACACTTTGAACTTTGACGACTTTGAGATAACATTACCCAGTGGAAGTGTTGTCGGCGGTGACTAGGATACCATTTTCTCTTGCAGGGGGGCTGCTGTTGTATTTTTAATTTAATCTAGTATATATTCCAGAATCTTGACTTGGCATTTGCGGCATGTGGTGGTAGCCTTGTACGTGTAAATACACTCTACTTCCTTCCAACTTTAAGTGGCGAATAGTATGTATGGTTTTATTGAAAAAGCTACTAGGGTCCAAATTATGATGTTGCAGTTAGATTCATCGTGGTTAGCGTACCTTGATCTGACAATGATCAAGACAATTGCCCATTATATAAAACCTCGCCAGCTCATACCAACGTCTCCCACATCATAGTAATTGGACCAAACCATCAACTCAAGACACATTGACCATCCATACCTTTCCCCGATACAGCCAAATCAACGGACACAATACTACAATATCAGTAACACCATAGACCAAAGCACCAATTCGCGCCGGTAGTAGTTGCACCCTAGATAATCCCATGAATCATGCTTACAAATGGTTGACATATACAACCAATCGACCGGGAGATTGAGAAACAACAAAAAACCAAAAGTTGAAAAACAAAGGCGTTATTAATAGATGTGACTCGCACAATGGAGAGATATATAAGGATGCAAAAAAGGTCGTGCCCGGGATCGAACCGGGATTGCTGGAATCAGAATCCAGAGTGATGACCATTACACTACACAACCTGTTGTTGTGATAGTTTGTTCACACTACAAACTGTTCAAGGTAAAATAAAATAAATAAGATATCTTGAAGGGGCAGTAACCTTTTCGGGTCAACATTCGATGGATCGAGGGGGTCTAGGTTTCCATGTGATCGTGGATAGTGTATATGTACTATAGAGAACTAAGAACGAGATGACCGGATTTTATATTTTAAAAGTAAACTTCAAAGTAATTTTACACAGAGAAGAGAAATTATTCCATCCCTGACAACCCATAGCGCTTATCCATGACAGTAGATAGATAGATAGATGGTAATTTTCCTCGCCTCAACTCCGCGATTCCATGCATTGACAAAATGACACCAAACCACACGCAAGATGCAGACATGAGAGGAGACAATATAGCCTAAGTGAACAACGAACTATTCGGCGCAATTCCCTTCAAGGCCGTATCGTCGTCCACAAAGTCGCGAAGTCTCCTAGTCCGGTCATCGAGGATCAAGCGTTCGGCTTCCCATCTCTTTCTTTCGAGAGTCTTGGCCTCAATTTGCTTCTGGCCTCCATACCAGGCCTTTTTGGCCTTTTCAATAGTCTCTTGCTCATCCTTTTCAGCTTGCTTGATCAGCTGGGAAACCATGGTCTTCCAGTTTCCGATGCCAACGCGCAGACAGTCTGCGCAGCGGTCGCGAGGCTCGCGGAGCTCTTCGGAGGTGCCGAGCTCGAAGATGGTGGCCTCGGCCAAGTCCACGGCGTCGCGGGTCCATGCTAGGCCGACTTCCTTGGAGGAGGAGGCGTAGATGATCTCACCAATATAGGTCATGAGGCCTGCTTCGTCGCAGACGGAGGTGGGAGTTCGTTGAGGTGGTTCGTCACCGGACGGTTGAGGAGGCGGGTATTTAACGGGTACGAGGACGGTTTTGAGAGAGTTAAACAGGGCGCGGAAGGGGTCATTGCCCGAGGGTGCGCGAGAGGGGAAGTATGGGAGAGTTGTATCGGATGAGGCTGCAGGAAGGGACCGGCGGGCCTTCAGCACGGAGGTGAAGATGGATAGCGCATTGGGCAAGTCACCCTGTTTGGCGTGGTGAACCGCGAGCGCCGTGGACACACGAATGATATTCTCAGATGGCAGCAACTTGCCGTCGTTCTTCAAGACGCCTGTTTTCAGATCCACGACTTTGGTGGCATCCACGGACGATCCGGCGGCCGCGATATCCATAGCCCAGCTGTACATGTCGCGCGAAGTACTCTTCAATCCCTTGTAATCGAGCCAGTCGGCATAGGAAAGCGCCGCTTCCACCTTTTGTCTCGTGTCGAAGCCCCGAGTAGTCAAGATCTTCATGTAAAAGCTCTCCGGACTAGAAGAAGCAGCCTCGCAGTTCTCCTCGAGAGGAGCTTTTTGTCCAGCGGGCATCGGCCTGGGGCGAGGGTTCGAGGGACCAACGACATACTCCGCAGGAGCAGAGATACGCTGTTTGCGATCGGTCATCCAGCCCTCGAGACTCTCGGCGGCCTTTGCAGCTCCCATCAGAGCTTGGAAGTAGCCCCGTCTCCACGGCTCACTCTTCGCAGAGACGTCATATCCAATTTTCCCAACGCCTTCGACCAAAAATCCCCCGTCTTCTTGCTCCATAATGCCCTTGCCTTCTCCTTCCGGGTCCTCAAGCCGCTCCAGCAGATCTTTTAGGTATCCCGCAACCATGGGCCAATTGGTCATGAGCTTGCCGATCTGCTCGGGATGCTGCAGTGCCTGTGCCGAGCGCAAGCACCACCGACTCTTCCAGGACCATTCCGGCGGTGTCGGCCACTTGTGTTCAATGTCCTCCTGGTATACGCCCAACTTCATCACCTGGAACAGCACCAAGATGGCGTAGAACGAAAGACCAATTTTGAGTCCATTGGAGATGCGTCGCCTATAGTAGTCACGGCTCTCGGTCGATACCAGTCGTGCAAAGTGTTGTCGGAGATGTAAGGATAAGGGCGGAAGAGGCCGACTGCCTGCCGGGGATGTGAGGAAAGGTAGCTGAGGCCGACCCAAAGGCGGGGAGATGACTTGTCGACGGGATTGTTGGGTGAAAGGGCGAGAAGGATGGCGGGCGCTGCGTAGAATGGGAGGCCGCAGCAAGCGACCAGACCCCGGTATTCGAGGCATTGGGGCGCGATGGGGTAGCATTCTGTGATGCTTGTCGCAGACCTGCTGGTGCTAGAAAACGGGTCACGATGTCGTCGACGGAAGAACAGCCCAGGTCAGGTGCATGTTTGCATTGTTTGCAGGACGGCCCGTCTGAACCCAAGTTGTGCGAAACAGGCAGAATTAGCCTAAAGGAGACAGACACTACAAAAGACACCACGAAGGAAAAATGCTCTCTTAAATATACAAGTTCCGAAAGTTGTATTGGGGAATCAAATATTATTTCCAAATCTCTCTATAGAGCAATAGATCCTCTAAAACCTCCCAGGGTTCCGAAATCCGACCTGTATCACGCAAAATAAAATCAATATTTTCCCAAGCGCCTACGCTAATCTAGTTGCGGTCAAAGTAGCCCTCGCTCTCGAGCATGAGGATGATCTCGTGGACAATGCTGCGGACGCTCTGCTTGGAGACATCCACAGTGAGATCGGCGTTAGCAGGAGCCTCATAAGGATCATCAACACCAGTGAAGCCCTTGATCTCGCCACGGCGGGCCTTGGCGTAGATGCCGCGCTTGTCGGTCTTCTCGCAGTGCTCCAGAGGAGTAGCAACGTGAACAAGGAAGAAGTTGCCGCCGGAGCCAGCGACGGCCTCACGGGCAGCCTTGCGGGACTCCTCGTAGGGAGCAATGGGGGCAGCGATGACGGCAGCACCGGCACGGGTGAGCTCACCGGCCACGAAGGCAATGCGCTGGATGTTGGTGTGGCGGTCCTCACGGCTGAAGCCCAGCTCGGAGGAGAGCTCGTGGCGGACGGTGTCACCAAGCAACAGAGTGACGGAGCGTCCACCCTGCTGGTTCAGGGTGACCTGCAGGGCACGAGCAATGGCGTCCTTGCCGGAGTTCATGTAACCAGTAAGGAAGATGGTGAAACCCTGGGAAGCACGAGGGGGGTTGGATTCACGCAGGATCTTGACGACCTCGGGGTAGGAGAACCACTCAGGAATGTGAGCACCGGTGCGGAGGCGCTTGCGGAGCTCGGTACCGGAGATGTCGAGGGTCTTGACACCAGCGGGGACCTCGTCCTTCGGGCGGTACTCGTCGGTGTCGGGCAGGTAGGTGACCTGCTGGAACTCGACGACCTCAATGCCGAGCTCGTCCTTGTACTTCTCAACGGCGTGCTGAGCATCGTAAGGACCGTAGAACTCCTCACCCTTGGAGTTCTTACCGGGACCGGCGTGGTCACGGCCGACGATGAAGTGAGTGGCACCGTGGTTCTTACGGATGATAGCGTGCCAGATGGCCTCACGAGGACCACCCATACGCATAGCCAGACCCAGGAGACCCAAGACAGCCATTCCGTTGGGGTAGCGGGGCAGGAGGGCCTGGTAGGCACGGACACGGGTGAAGTGGTCAATGTCACCGGGCTTGGTGAGACCAACGACGGGGTGGATCAGGACATTGGCCTGACGGGCGCGCGCAGCACGGACGGTCAGCTCACGGTGAGCTCTGTGCATGGGGTTTCTGGAACGCCGTTAGTCGTAAGGTCGCGCGCATCATAACAGCTGTACTATAGCTAGTCTCGGCCACACGTACCTAGTCTGGAAAGCGACAACTCGGGACCAGCCGAGCTTGTCGAAGTGGACACGCAATTCCGCGGGAGTGTCTAATTAGGAGGCCCGCGCGGTCAGTACATGAATCGGGATGCGATCGCAAGGATTGCGCACGGGCAATGACATACAGCGAAGAGCGACATAGTCGTAGTGGTTGAGCTTGTTAACAGCCTCGATCTTTCCACCAATGTAGAACTCCTGGACAGTGTTGTTCAGGTACTTGATGGCAGGGTGTTCCGGGTCTCCGCCAAAGACCAGCTTGGCTTCCTTTTGCCTAAATTAGGAGTGAAAAGCGCACTGTTAGCCCATCCGCGTCATCGAGACCCACTATCTGCAAAATCCCCGACGGCTAGTGAACTCCGCCCGTGCCAAATTAAGGTCGGCGATGCCAATCTCTCGTTTCAAGAACGTCCCGTTCAAGTCAGAGATATAGCGATCGCCGAGATCCTGCGATTCCCATTCGTGCGGAAAAATTCACAAGGGAAAGAGTAAAGAAGGGCTCCACTCACTTGTCGGCGCGGTAGATGTCGTCGATGGTCAGGATGGCCAGGTTGCGGTCATCACGGAAATCGCGCAGGGTGAGACGAGAGCCGGCCTGGAGCTTGAGCTCGCTGATGGTCTTCTGGGAGGCGTCGAGGGTGATGGGCATGGAGAAAACGTTGCCATCGGCAAGACGGCAGTTCTCGCAAACACTGAACGAAAATCGGTGTCAGCTAATTGTTTCTCAATAAGTTCGCCCGTTAAACAGTTCCTCTCTCTGCATATCGAGTATCTAGTCGAGGACCGCTGGCGTAAAATTGGTGGGGATTTCGGGATCGTAGCATACCCGTCGAAGTCCTTCTGGTTCATGAAGCCTGCGCCCGGAGTTAGCCAAGACTGACGATTTCACCCCGCGGCGGTTGCAAGCGGACGGGTAGTCGCGGGCAACCAGGATAGAGGAAGTGGAATATTGACAACATACCCTCCAGAGGACTGAAACCACCGTTCATGATGAGCTCCAGATCGCAGAGCTGGCGCTCAGTGAGAGTGAGGGCAGGGAGAATCTCCGCCTCAGCAGCCAGCTGGTCGTGGCGGGGAGCATCGCGGGCGAGAAGGTCCTTGAGGACACCACCGTGGGGAGAGTTGGCCATTGTGAAGGATGACGAGGGACGGATTTCCACTCAAGCAAGATGTGATGAGAAAAGAAGGAAGGAAAGGAAAGGAAAGGGTCTGGAGGGTCCCAGAGGATTATAAAGAAAAAAGAGAGAGTGGAGGGGGAAGGAGGAAGAATGGACTTTATGAAGAGTGGAAAAGGAAAAAAAGTTCAGGAAGGGGTCAAGAGGGGAACAGCGGAGCAACCAAGGCAATGATCCAATTCGAGCAATTCAGGAGATTGAGGGACTCCAGCGATGACCAATATGCTTTCTCCAACGACCATCAAGTTCTCCGTTCCAGCCAAATCAACTATTCGGGATCTGTCCTGCGGTCTCGTCGAAGGTGGTGGAGCTGTCGGACTCTTGGTACGAAGAGCGTCTACGTATGCCTCTTGTGTCGTACGTCTCTCTTCTTCCCCCCCTCGATGAGGCTGCACACTTGTCGCATTCGCAATTGCTCATCCCCAGCGCGATGGCGCCATCGCTCGTCTCCAGCATGCTATCCTCATAAGCCCTCTATTTTTAGGGCCTTCTAGAAGGGCGGGCGCTTATGCTGCGTCCTCTATTCTATACTTGAATTGAACTACGTTGGTACGTCCGATGGCGGATGGGCTCTCCTCGGAGATACGGGGCGGCCCTCGTAACCACGGGGGATAATCGCTGCCCCCCCAATCGTCGTCATCAACCTCATGTTGAAAGCCACATAATTTCCCCCGCTGGGTCTACGGAGCCCAGAACAAGTCATGATTTTCAGGGGGGCAACAGGATAGTTGCCGTTTAAAGTAAACCGCCAGCGTATGCGAGATGTCAATCGCATGCGTGGACATTTCTCAGATAGATTTTCCTCCGATTGTGATTGTAGATGTCAGGCCAGCCGGTAAAGCGGGTTTGAAACATACCAGTCAAACAACGTTTCCCTGGTCGTTCGCCGCGTTTCAAAAAAAACCGCCGCCTCAAAAATCACGTGCTGGGATCACGACATCTCCAGCTCGGCTTGCGTGATTGACTACGCCAGCCGAGGCCTAGCCCCTTCTTGGCACCGGTTCCGCCCTGTCGCTCAGGTGACCCGCTTGCCCTAAACAGCGACCTGCTGCTGGCACCATGAACACAGCAGAATAATATAGAAGATCAATATCTGATATTGATTTCTCAGCCAGCCGCAATATCCGCGGAGATCTCAGTCAAGTTTTCTCAGTACTGTCAATTGACCTAGTAGAAGACCTGTGCTGCTCATGTCGAATAAGAAATGGCCTGGGGAACGGATGACAAACACCTTGTACTAGTGTTTAGTCCGTCGACATCATCCAGACGGTGATACTGAATAGCCACCCCACGCAGATATGGCATACCATGAACTCATCTGATTTGCATCGCTCCGCTGTGGAACTGTTCACGGCGTGATTGTGTTTAGTTCAGGGTCTCAGGGTCCGGGAGCGCGGGATGTGGCTTCTCTTAAAGAGCGGGAGGGGTTCTGCAGACGTATGCATACTTTTCTTGTGGTGTAGCCAAGAATGACGATAATTGGAAGTAGATGATGCAACCAGCTAGTATAGCCCTACACCGCAACGTCGGGCCACATAATCTGTCATGCATGAACCACAAGGCTGATAGCCTTAACTTACTTCAGATCAGGGTCTGTTTAGCATAATGAAGGTAAGATTTCATCCCGAATGGAGAAAGTAGACTTTGAAAATACTGAACGCCTGCGATCCCATTACTAACCTCTTTTTTAAATAACCAGCCGTCCCAACTGTCCAACAATCCAAGCCAAAAGTAAGCGAGAAAATGCACGTTCCCTGGAGAAAGACTGACACGCAAGCCGCTCCCCCCAAGGAATTCTCCAATCTATTCAAATCTAGAACCTAAACATCAACCCCATACTTTTACATAAAAGAAAATGGGGCAGAACAATCAACCCAGAATCTCTCGCACGAGAGACGCACAATCCCATCGTCTGCCGCTGATAAGGTTGAACTGATTAGATTGATAAGATAAGATGATTCCACTGTCACGTATCCAAGGTTGTAATGAAACACGACTAAAATATAAACAACTTCATGTGACTAGTAGGCCAGGACATGACTCCAGAATGCTGATACTGTTATGTACAAGTGAATACATCCACATCTCGGAAATACTATTGATGCCGAAGTCTTTCTCCGAGGAAGGTGGGGGGGTATGAATGTGCGAATGGATGGCTTAACACTCATCATCTGGCCATTTTCGTGGGTATATCGTTAAATACCTTCGCCGTTAAATTCAAGAATTGATGTCTAGAGCCAGTAAATGAGGGCTACCGAAAGATATAGGTAAGTAGGCAAAGTTCTTACATCTACTACACTCGCAGAAGTCTTCTGACACGCACCCGAAGCCTAGCGGGGCATTTAATCTACTAACTCTAAAAATCATACTATATTCATTTATGTTAGGTAAACTTTTGGGAAAGCTCAGTTGTTGTTGGTCTATAAGGATAAAAAGCAATCCTCAACGGCAGACCGGGGTAACTTAGCCTACTATATCCGGAGGCGCTGAGCATAGTATGGTCTTGGCAGATCCCGTGGCGTCTGCTAAGTATTTGTTGAGGATTGTAGAATTCAGGTAGTATTAACTGAAAATCACTGAGCAGTTCCGAGCCATCCGTACCAGCAAACTTTAATCCTTCAACGGATTTACTGTAGCGAATTCACTCCTCATTCGGTTGGGTCGGGTGCGATATCGGATAGGGTTGAAGTTGGAACACCCCACCCCACAGTCCTACTCTCCGCGAGTCTCCAGAGAGGGGTCTATTGAGGCTTACTGTGTAAAATGAGAATCATTTGTATCATGCAAGTCATTAATGTATTTGGCTTGTAAGCCGTCTTTTGCAAATCCCTGCCAGTCTCCGCCAACCCTGTATGTACAGTAACTCCATTCGGATTAGGATTGACGGGCGGCTTTTGATCCCATTCGAATCATTTGCTCAAGAATTTCCCAAATGTCATAACACATAATCCTCCGATTCCCGTACCATGGGGTCTCCTTTTTAAAACAAGTAAAACAACAAGGCTATGTAACTCCACTCCAGATTAAACTCCCAGGTCATAGAACGCCGTTATAGATGCAAGGTGAGAAAGAAGACAAGCGGCCTTTACTGAGCGGACGTCGTCAGGGACGTCTGAAGAGCCTGCGATAGGGCCTCTTCTTGACGCTTACGCTCCATTTCCATGAGGAACTGAGCATACTTGGAGCGAGGGTTGTGGATACCGCACTCGGTCTTCTCCTGGCCCTTCCAGCGACCAGACCGCTCATCTTCGTTCTCCTTAACCGGCTGGGTGGAGTGGTAGTCACCAATGCTCTTGTAACCACGGTCGAGCAACTCGTTGTAGGGAACATCGTTGTCTTGGACGTATTGCTTGACCTGTTCGAAGGTCCAGTTGGCAAGAGGGTTGATCTTGATCAGGCCAGCCTCGTCAACCTCAATGACATCGAGGTCACCACGCTTGCCACCCTGGCTGCGACGACGTCCAGTAAGGACAGCGTGAACGTTGAGTTCGCGGTAGGCACGCTGGGCAGGCTCAACCTTGGCCACCCAGTCGTAGAACTGGTCGTCCTTCTCCCAGAGACGGGCACCGTACTTCTGGGCAAATTCTTCCTCTGTCTCCAGGCCCTGGGGCTTGAAGACATGGATGTTGACCAAAGGATACTTCTGGCGGACACGATCGACCAGATCCAGGGTCTCTTTGAAGTGGTGGAGGGTGTCGAGGAAGATGAGATCAACCATCTGGGGCCGGGGCACGTCCAGCTTGGAGAGCATGTCCAGGGTCACGAGACCGGTGAGACCGAAAGCGGTGGTCTGGTAGAGGTGAGGCAGAGAGGTCACACACCATCTCAGGACATCTGCGTATATGTTAGTCAACTTGGCCTGGAGACGTGTGAGAGAGGCAACCCATGCTGACCTTGAGGCTCAAGAAACTGCAATTGTCTGTTGAGGAAGTTCAAGTGAGGCTTCGTGAAGACGATTTCTGGGGAGTAGTCATCACTAGAGCCACCACTGACATAGCCAGAGTCTGTGGCAGTGTCCCGTAGGTCGGCAGCCTCATAGGCGGAGGGGTAGTTCTCAGACGTCTTCGCAGGCATGGTGAATGAGGAGTCGAATGACAGGGTATATGGTAGACAAGTCAATCCCAAGGACGAGCAGATGAAATGCAAGCGGGTCTATATGTAATGGCTCGACTAGACTTGGAGGGATGACGGAAAGGACAAGAACTGAAGTGGGAGGCAAGAGATGATGTAGACAGAACACAATGGAGATGACTTGACCAGTCCGATATAAAAGAAAGACAGGACAGGGGCAATCACGACATCATCGGGTCGGGGGCACCCGTTCTTCCTGCCCTCAGTCCCTCATACATGCCGGCTCATTCTGCCGTTCTCGATCACGACATTGTCTGTGACCGCCTGCACAATCGGGCGACTGGGCTGAAAAATTTAATTTCCTCATGTCCTGGGGAAATCACGCAATACTTGCGCCTTTGGTGACTCTGCGCACCCGGATATGCTTAGCTCAGCCGCTGAAACAGCTGCCAGTGTGCCATTGCTGATAAATCCAGCATGGTCCACAGTGAAGTTGGAACGGTGAAGAACATGGGCGAAGGGCATCAAAGTTCATCCGGTCGGTAATTCCGTGTAGCCGCTGCTCATCTTATCTTGGATGATGACATGTTAACCCTGTTCCGGTCTGTTTTCTGGTTCCAAAGAGGTGCAGGTCTAGCTGATGATTAGCCTCGGACTGGAGGAGATGGATTGCTTAGAAAACAAACCCGGCTTGATTTGAGTCAGACATTTGTAGATAACGTAGTTAATCAGAATTAGTGTTGCTGTTGTTGTCTTGGCGACTAGTCAGAACAGACCCTTATTTGTCATACTAAATCGATGGTGGCAGTTGGAAGCATGCTTGCTCTGCTCCATGAACCCCTCTTCCCCCAAAGATTGATATCATCATCATCTCCATCTTTCCATCTTGGCTGGGGAAGAAGTTGGCATGGTTCTGCCGGGCGGTGAATCCAACTATTCGGCCTCATGTGACCGAGGGGCACGGGATCCCCCACCACGTGCGGCCGATCGGAGCTGCAGGGGAAATTCGCCGGGAGTTCAAAGCCAGACTCTCTCGTTTTGAACTTGTCTAGACGCTACTCGTATCTCCCTTCCTCTTCCCGCCTGCTCCAGCTTGTCGAGGGTTTGTTCCCACCGGGTGGATTCGCCGTTGATTGCTGAGGATCATCCGCTGCTTGCATACTCGCCCTGTGCTATCGATCTCCGTCTACCTCCGAATCGCACTTGCACCCCTCACTCTCCTCTCTTGCGCCAAAACTCTCTAGTCCGGCACAATGGCAGCGCCCAACCCCACCAACAACGGCCGTCCAACGCGGCCGGTATTGCGACAAACCCTGTCCAGCGCATCCTTCATCCAGGATCATCAGCAGTACAAACCCTCTGCCCCCATTCAGACCATCGGCAACGTGATTGGCAACTCCCCTGAGTCAGCGTTTGCTGCGCTGTCCGTCAAAGCTAATCCCATTAGCCCCGATCCCGAGAAGGTGACCGACAGTGGCATTATCCACAGCATCTTCAACCAGCAGACCAATGAACTGCCTACTGGAACACAGCAGCTGGTCGCTACGATCTACTACAAGTCTGCTGATCCTATCCATCCCCATCTGCACCCCGATTCCTCCCCTCATGTCGGATCTGGCCAAACTCTGCCATCACCCATGGTACCCGTAGGTTCCGCCCCGACGGTCGATATTGAGAAGATCCCACGGGAGCCTCCCGCCCCAGAGCCGGAGCCGCTCGACCATCTGTACGGTCCGTTTGTATCACAGCTCTGCCTGACCAACTTCCTTCAAATCATCGAAACCCTTCCGACCCCGTATCAGCGCACCAACACTTCGCATCGCTGCTTGGATCGTCACGATCAGCCTCGCGTCGTCGAAGTCACCTTCTCGCCTCCCCCCAACCCGGAATACCTCACCTTTGAGGACCTGCGGAAGCATGAGAGCATATGGCGATTCGAGCGTGAATGGAATGTGGAGGTTGTCCTTCAGCGGGAGAGCATCTTCCGTCGGCACAAGCGGTTGGTAGTGTTCGATATGGACAGTACATTGATTCAGAATGAGGTGATCGATGAGATTGCCAAGTTCATCGGCGTGGAGAAGGAGGTTTCGGTTCGTACCTTCTTTACATAACGATCGCAAGGGGCTGTATATGCTGATATTGATGGCAGGAAATCACGGCTCGTGCTATGAACGGCGAGCTGGACTTCTCCGCATCTCTCCGGGAGCGGGTTAGCCTGCTGAAGGGCGTTCCTGCGGATGTCTTCGAGAAGCTGAAGTCCATCATCACAATCTCTCCAGGTGCGCGCGAGCTGTGTAAGGCATTGAAGACCCTCGGCTGCAAAATGGCAGTCTTGAGTGGTGGCTTTCAGCCTCTTGCGGAGTGGCTTGCCGAACAGCTTGGACTTGACTACGCGCATGCCAACCATGTATGTGATGCGACACCTGACCCGTCGAAACTGTTTTGTATGTTTTGATTGTGTACTAATTGACTGTTCCAGCTCGAGATCGATCCTACAACGCAAACTCTGACCGGCAAATTGGTCCCCACATACCCCATCATCGATGCAAGCCAGAAGCGCTCGATTCTTCACTCGATTGCCGCGGAGCATGGCATCCCTATCTCCCAAACTGTCGCTGTTGGTGACGGAGCCAATGATCTGCTTATGCTGCACGCAGCAGGATTGGGAGTTGCGTGGCGGGCCAAGAGCAAGGTGCAGCTCGAGGCACCGACCCGTCTTAATGGCGAGAGCCTCGTAGATGTCCTCTACCTCCTTGGCCTGACTAAGGATGACATTTCCGAGCTGATTGCGTAGTTGAAACGTGTTACAGAGCATCTATTACAGTGACCAAGTGATCAGCAGAAAGACACGAACACGTGCGTCTTACACACTAGTCAGCTGGGCGACAAGCATGCGAGCATGTCGCCAGGTGCGTACTCTACTACTACATTTCCAACCCGTTTTTGGAGTCCTCCCACGCGCACCATTGGATAGGTTCCTTTCTTTCCGTTCCATTCCCATATCATTTCCCTATCCATTTCTCTCCACATACTATCTCTTTCTATCTCTCTTTGGCTCCCATGTTTTGGATTTGGCATGTGTAGACAGACCAAGCCCAAACCAAAACCACCACAGCCCTTCTCCCTCACCCCATTCATTTCCCCGACCATGAGAATTCCAGAAGCCAAGCGGAAGATAGTTACATGCATTAAGAACGATGAGCACGAGAGCGTTACATGCGGGCGTCGGAGTAGGCAGGGAACAAACACGGGCAGGTACACAATACATACGATTGCTATGGCGATGGGCTACATACGTACGGACAAATTTTTGATTGATTCGAACGACTGCGAAATCATGATGATGGCTGATGCTGATGTTGTTAATATTCCCGTCTACCTGTTTTTATGTGAAATGGATGCATACATGTTGAATTAGTATTTTTCTATTCGCGACTCTGTAGTGAATGATTGAGACAGCCAGCCCGTCCCGCTCATCCCAGGCCAATTGCTAATGAACCCTAGCAATGCTAATAGAAGTAGTAGTTGATGACGTCCGTAAGTAGACAAAGTTTTGAAAAACCAAAAGCTCGAAACAACCACAGTATAAGCCCCATTTAATGCAACCCTGCGCCAATAGACCGAAAGACAAACACAGAAATCGTACAAAGCTCGAAGAGAAAAGGTTATGCTAAAGCTCAACGAGCAGCCTCATCAACAGCAGCAGCAACCTTCTTCTCGGCAACAGCATCACTAACCCCGGCGCGCCTCTTCTTCAAGACATTCTCAATGAACGCCTCACCAGCCTTATAAGAACTGCGCACCAACGGTCCAGAAGCACAGTAGAGGAAACCCAACTCCTCAGCACGACGCTGCCAATGCTCGAACCATCTCGGATGAACGTACTCATGCACAGCCATATGCCTCTTCGTCGGACGCATATACTGCCCGAAAGTAACGACATCGACATCAACAGCACGCAACTGCGCCAGCGCATGCTCCAACTGTTCCTCAGTCTCCCCAAGTCCCAACATCAACGAAGACTTCGTAATAACCTCCGGGTTGGCCTTCTTCGCCGCCTCCAACACAGCAATACTCTGCTTGAAGGTAGCCCTGCGATCGCGGACACGGGGGGTAAGCGCCTCAACAGTCTCAATATTATGCGCATACACATCCAAACCCGAGTTCGCCACCAGCGCCACCATATCCAAATCACCACGGTAATCACCCGTCAAACATTCAACAAGGGTGCTAGGCGCCTTGGACTTAATCTTGCGCACCGTCTCAGCGAAATGACGCGCACCGCCATCCGCAAGATCATCACGATCCACACTCGTAAGCACCACATATCCCAGCCCCCAGCGGGAGATGGCCTCGGCCGTGTTCTCCGGCTCATGGGGATCCAGCGCAGCGGGCCTCCGGCTCGTTTTAACACTGCAGAAACTGCAACCGCGGGTGCAGGTATCGCCCATGAGCATGATGGTAGCGGTGGCAGCGGCTTTGTCGCCGCCGCCCCAGCAGTCGGAAATGTTGGGGCAGCGGGCTTCCTCGCAGACAGTGTGGAGGTTCAGGCCGCGCAGGTCTTTCTTGAGGCGCTGGTAGTTCTTGGAGTCGGGGATGGGGGTTTTCAACCAGGGTGGAAGACGGGTCATTTGCTTTTTGCGGCCGGCGGGGCCGACGAGAGCGGTTTCAAGAGCGTAGGCTTCGGAAGGGTCGATGAGGGGTGCATTGTCGTTGTTGCCGGAAACGAAATCCCCGAAGGATGGGCCGGCGTTGAGCTTGTCTGTGAATGCGGTGCGGCGGCGTGGTTTGGGGGTGCTGGTGGCGGAGGTGGAGGAATCGGTCGTGGCGTAGGTGCGGGTTGTGAGGATGCTGGGGGTGGATTGAGGGAGGGAGGCCCTCGTGGAGGTGTAGAGAAGCCGTAGGCGGTTTGTTGATGCGGCTGCCATGATGTGTGTTTGAGGTGAGGAGGAGAGGCAGGCTGCGGTGCTTTGGAGAAGTTGAAATGGAAGTTGGATTCCGCGGGAAAGTCGCTGATAGCCATCGGAGTTTCGGTTGCGATGCCGCCCGATCATGACTCAGCTGGTGCTGGTGCCTGAGGTGTTGATGGTGTGCTGGGCTGATTAATTCTACGACAGTAAATGGAATGGACTACTAGGTTGACTATGGTTCAAAAAAAAAAGGGAATAAAATTTAAAGGAAATACCATTGTATATGTAAATCTGTGTGGGAAAACAACTAGCTATTATACATTAGCCCTAGTGGCTAACTGCACGCAGTACATGTAACTTCAATCGCCAGTAGGAAATACAATAGGGAACAGGCCCCAGGCATGTGGTTTGACAGATAAGGAAATGTAAGTGAAGGACAGGTCATAGAATACACTGAAACGAAAGGCAGGGTTCTATGCAATCTGGTCTAGCCAATATAGTAAGGAAAAATATGGTCACAGAGACGGGACTGGGATATAAGAACAGAAGGAAATAGAGGGTGAGAGAATAAACAAGGAGAGATAGGAAAGGTGTCTATAGTGATTGACAGTCTCATTCAGAGACTAATGTTGGCAAGTAAAGAATGACTGCTCAGTTCTTGGCTTCGAGAACTTGAGCTAAAACAAATACGGCTGACTTGAGCGTCTCGTCTGCTTTGCCGCATATAGCAAAGAGCAGATTATCCACTATTCGGTCCAGCTCTTTGCGAAGCTCCATGCTTCGGGATCCGAGGACACGTTCTTTGACACGAGACGAAGTAGCTGGACTGAACTGCATCCCTGGCGATGTAGCTACCTTCTCGGGTACTGTATCTAGCCGGGACACGGGGGAGGGATGCGAGAAGTTGTTGATCCTTCGGTTGTTGGAAGCCAAGGATACAACATAGTTCCGCGCGATCAAAGCGGCACATAGGCCACCTAATAGATTCTCCGCGACGTTCGGGAAGATATCGCGGAAGGGTTTCAGGAGTGCCCGTTCATTGTTGTGACGGATGAACATGATGACGGGAGAAGTTAGACGAAGCATGTTTCGTGGAAAGTCCTTCACTGAATGCTCCAATTGATCGATAGTCCATTCATGATCCCACCACTTTTCTAATTCCTCCTTCTCTGACATGGTTGAGGAGCGTCCTGGCGATGCTAGGACCTGGGGTGATGTGCTAAACTTTGGTGGTCGCTCTAACTTGGGCGGAGACTTCGGCTCAGGCGGGACTGGAGTCGGTTTGCTGCATACGATTGTTTCGCCGACGCTCTCTGAACTCATAGAGCCTGCATCAGTGTAGTCGTCGTCGTCATCCTTATCGTTCTGCAAATCATCGGGCGAGGGACAGTCCGGATGAGTGATATACCCACTGTCAGACATCTCCATTGGGGTATCCGGACTGAAAGCCGATACCTCTTGTTGACCAAGATCCGGGGTGGATGGTACCGGTTGTGGCGGAGTTGGAAGCGAATAGCTCATTGCTGGAGATGACTGACGCGAGATATCGACTAATTTGGGCTTTGTTTTCCTGGCAACGGTGCAGATCTAGAAGGTTGTCAGTACATCGTATGAGAATATTAATAAATAACACTTACTTCGTGCTTGTCAGATGGAGATGTCCTCAGCCGTGGCGGGCTCTTCTGTACAATCTGGCATTTCCTTCGACTTTGTTCTCGAGTCCTCTCGCCCTGGGAGCCAGGTGTTTCTGCAGGCGCGCCCTGAAGCCACTCACCACAGTAGGAGAGACTACTGGGAACCCAGCTTCCCTCACTAGATACCGTTCCTGACCTGCTTCTCTGGGACCCCATCGACGATCCTGAAAAGTTCCGCTTCACGAATGTCTCGGAATCTGCAGAGGGGACGGGCGATGGCATGCACTCTGGATTGGGGGACGTTGCGATCAAAGACGCCTCAGCTGGCCGGCATTGCTTGACCAATATGGAGTGCGCCATATGTACATTGGTTGTCTCATCGCGCGGCGAGGTTGTTGGGCGAACATCCTGCTTTCGAGCACCACAGTCATCACAAGATTCTTTTCCAGACACACAGGCGCAACCTTTCGGTGTAGCTGGACCATAGTCTGATTCGGACTCGTATTTGGAAGAGAAGTAGGCAGATGATGGGGACGATTGTGAGCCCAGAGAATCGGAGAGAGGAGGACTGGGAAGAAGGCCGAAAGAATCTATGCTGGTGACGTTGATGTTTTGGTCCGAGCGCCAGGCTCGCAGCGTTTGACCTCCGGACAATTGTCGCGATGATCTGGCTTCCTTTGCAGCTGATGCGATGCTTTCCAGGGATGGAGAAGAGGGTAGACGCAGCTGAAAGGGTTGTTTCATCCTGCGCACTGAGCGAAATGGCGACATGACCACCGGAGGACGCTCTACTGGTCGACGTGGCTGCGGAGCTGTAGTATATTCGGCTTGGTCCATCCGAGGAGAGGTCGAGGGAACGAAAGAAAGAGAGCTCTGCGCCTGTTGCTGTCTCCTCCAGGGCTGAACATTGGGCGCATAGCGCGGAGCAGCAAGTCCGTTGCCTTGGATCATGTCTTCTTCAGCTAATGAGTTATATGACGATACTCTCCTGGGTGCGAACGCTGGGACCTGGTTCGCAGACATGGTATGTTGATGACAGTTCCTATTTGGGTTTAGGAACACCCTGGCTGACTGGCAGTCAGTGGAAGACATGGCTGGTACGAGAAATGGTAAGTAACAATCAGGCGATAATCGATTTTCCTATGGTTACTCGATAATAATGTGCAAAGGAAGAGGAAAAGAGAAGCATCAATTCTGATCGGGAAAGCGGCCGGCAGGGCCTTATACTACATAACAATATGGGTTTCCAGGTATCCCTTGACTGCCTTGCGGTGACGGGGGAACTAGTCACTGGGCATGTGTACTCTCCCCCTTCGAGAGGGTCATCTAACACTCTGGAACATAGACGAAGAGTGAAGGGCGACCACGCCCACCGTCCTTGCATACCAGAGAGAGGCGAGCGGAGGTAATGTACACAGCCATTGGCTAGCAGTCTCAATGCGCGCCACCTGCAGGGACAGCACAACGTGGGTGGTCCGTCTCCCAGGGTGCTTGGATCTCGTTAATTAGCAAAAGGAATGAGACATGCAGTTGGAGGGATGCGGGAGGAGCCTTGAGAGGGCATTCAAAGGACGTCACCGGTCTGATTTCAGGACTCTCTGGTTAGTAGAGGCGTTGCGCCGGACAATCAAAGAAGAAGCCCCTAGAGGGACACCCCTTGCATGGGTTGCTGTGGGCGCCGGCGATAGGCTCATGTTGATTGAGGGATAGGCGAAATTTAATTTAAGCAGCATGTGCAGGAATTCCAGCTTGACTGCGGCCGCGGAGATTTGTGTTGTATCATGATGGGCTTGAATACCACGGGAAGGCAAGCAAATTTCAATCTCCAGATGCGGTCTTGATGGTGGCTCAGTCAAATCTGCTTCTGCTGGGAGTGTTATGGCCGATAATGGATGGCTTGCTAGTGGCAACCAAGGGATAGTGTTAGCTTCAATAGGTAAATCAGTCACAAAGGAGAGTAGGGGAACTAGGGAGCTGAAGACAGGGACAGCGAGGGTATCACTCCGTCAACCTGAACCGGAGGGAGAAGGAGACGAAGCTTAATTAATGAAGGTTTATAGATCGTCTTGTGCGGGATTATCTAAGCATGCATACAGACCTGCATAATCCTTCCTTATCGGGCATTGACAGACAAACCATGCAAACATCCCGGTTATCGATTGGAGCCTCGATTTCCTCATTTTATTTTATTAGCATTTTAGTCGATTTCCCTTCTCCAAAAAAAAATTAACGGCTTGTCGCATTCTCCCTGCCTCCTGCAAATTTGAACTTTCTGGGGTGGCAGTTCGTCATGCTCTCTGAATGTTTCATCGCATCGACGCTGGCGTCCAGCAAAGCGCCAGCGTCTGCGACCCTCCGCGATGTGGGAGTTTGCGTCCATGAATTCCAGCCCACGCTGAACCTGCGCTCCACCTTCAAGAAGAGCTCGACCGCGGCCAATTGCTTGGCTGTAAGCCCGTCGCATGTGTTCGCTGCGCAGTCTGAGAAAGCCATTGTACATGTGTATAGCAGGGAGAAAGGCAACCAGGAAGCCACCGTTCCTTTCCCGGAGCGCATTCGCAGCATTGCTGTCGCCGGGGGCAAGAACGGCGATGTTCTGGTTTTGGGAACTGAAGGGGGACGTTTGATTCTATGGGAGGTAAATCGATCATTCACAGCCCCAATGGCGTCGCCAGCCATTCGTCATGGTTTCAAACTAACAGCATGTGCTTCCTAGACATGCACCGGGCGACAAGTGGCTACGACAGCGTCGCATCTGCGGCCAGTGACCTCGCTCGTGGTCGATCCCAATTCCAACTTCATTCTGTCGGGCTCATCCGATGCCAGCATTCATGTTTGGTCGTTAGTGGATCTCTTATCCTTTACGAAACCTCCATCCGGCCGTGATCGTCAGCCTCCGAACTCCCCCATCCGTACCTTCTCCAACCACCGCGCCGCCATCACCACCATCGCTGTGGGTCACAGCGCGGGTCGATACAACATTGCTCTGTCTGCTGCAGATGATAGCACAGCCATTGCCTGGGATTATCACACCGGCCGTCTCCTGCGCACCTTCCTCTTGCCTTCCAATGCGAAGTCGCTGGCCCTTGACCCGGCCGACCGGGCTTTCTATGTCGGCTACGAAGATGGCAGTATTCAGTCGATCGACTTCTACAAGAACCAGTCCATCCAAAACCCTCTCCACGACCCCTCCCTTCAATCAACTCCCTCGCAGCCTCCCGCAGAGGATCGCTGGGCACCGCCATCGGCCGATTGCGGCGCAGCGCATGCGCTCACTCTCTGCTACGATGGAATGACGTTGCTCTCTGGCCACCAGAATGGCAAGGTTCTGTCATGGACAGTTGGAAGGAAGAAGTACGCCTCGACCGTGGCAGACTACACACACCCTGTCACAAACCTGTTTATGCTTCCTCCCAACGGTCTTCCTCATCCTTCCCTCGACCTCAAGCGGGTAGCACACACCATCAAGCCCCGCTACGACTCTTCCCTGTCCGAAACCTCCCAAGCAGCTGGCGCCGTTCCAGCCGATTACACCTTCAGCACGCACCTCCTCCCCTCGATCTCATCCAAGTCCGACTGTGCTAAGCCGGACCAATTCACCGAAGCCTTCTCCCACGCGTACTTCCCCGAATCCATGCTCGAAGAAGGTCTCGCCGAATTAGCTGCCTTCAGCCAGCCCACTAGCAACGGAGCTCCAGTCTCCTCGATAGCACAGGGCATAAGCGACGAAGACCTAGCAGCCAAGGATTCCCAAATATCCCAACTGGAAGAGGAACTTGCCACGTTGAAGAAGAAGTCATCCGTAAATGAGACCGCCCGCCAATCCACAACAGACGAAGTGACCAAACTTCGCTCGGACCTCGCCAACCTACACGACTATATCAATGAGCTTCATGAGAAACAAGAACAGGCGCAGCGGGAGAAGATTCTCCGACAGGCGCGGAAAGAAGAGCGAGAGACCCGCCGTCGGGAAGCTTGGTTTGCAGCCGAAAAGAAGGGCAAGAAGGGAGATGCGGTTCTCCGTAAGATGGACGCCGAGGATACCGTTATGACGAGTGATACGGATGATCAGAGCAGTGATGAGTAGACTATATTCATCTCCTCACTCTGCTTCCATAATCATCCACTATTGAACCCACATTACATTGCTACAGTACATCATTCGACAGGCGCAACGGTCTCAAAAAAAGTCTCAATGATATGACAAAAGTGGTATGTGTATCATAGCAAACAGCACATCACATGATGCATGTCTTTTACACTATGCTTGGATAGACACGGAGTCTTGTATTGTATATAGATCAATGGGTAATAAATAAAAGTTTCACCAACATTCTACCGCAAACCCAATATAGTAGTATTCTTCACCTTTCCTGAAGACAACGGAGTACTCGATACAAAGATGACTTCATACCCTATACTACAATCCGCCTCCCAAAGACCCGCAGCCACAAAACACCCAGACCCTCTGATGAAACACAATATGCGCCCCAGTCCTCCGATGAAACGAAAGTGGCTGTCAAATGTTCGAAACGGAGGAATGTGGACTCGCAGGCCTCTGGTATGCATGGTGTGGAGACACACACCACCGTCCGTAATGCATCATGCGGGCTGGGAACATTTCAAATTCATTGACGTCGCACAACGTATGTAGTACATTCCGCACATGATATCTAATAATTAATTGTTAAAGACCTACTAGATAGTGTTTTTTTGTGGGAAAAGCAGAGAAAGTATGTAATACGGGAATAAGGATATGATTTGCTTTGCTTCATTCCTTAGGAGTCGGGGGAGCTTAGGCTGGTTCGTAATCGCTAGGAATTTGGGAATTTAGTTTTCGTTTGGAGGGTGATAAGATTACTGTGGACAAGGTTCGTTGGCTTGGCAGATATGGGCTTTGAGTTTGGTATTTTGCCAATGTCATGGTCGTGGTCGTGTTCTGTGCTTTAGGGCTGTGAATGGGGAATCCAGCACGCCCGTTCCAGACAGTGGCGGCGGCGGTGGTCGTGGAGGTTGCAAACTAGAAACGGTGGGTAGAGAAGTAAAAGGCAGACAGATGAAAGACAAGGATTTCGTCTCTCACCTGGATTGAGCACCTGTCACTGGAGGTGAAAAACTTAACCGTCGTGATCACATCGGTATGCCTTTCTCAACCGATGGGTGCCATCAAGCAGGCCTTGGAGACTCGTTAGCCCCATCCAAACGGCTTCTTCAGTGCGGATGGTTCTGCTTCCCTGTCCGGGTAGGAAATTTACCCAGTAGTCGAAGAGCTTGCCAGCATCGGATGGGCGGATGGCCATGTCACGGAGTTGAGGATCGTTCCGGACGGCTGCCTCAATCCCAGCGACACCACCGAAGACGACAAGGATATGCTGGAAGTCTGGCGATATCTGATCCCGACAAAAGGAGTGGCCTTGCTTGTAGCGATCATGTGCTTGTTGTGGCTTCTCCTCTAGCACTGCGGAGACAGGCACACCACGCTCGGACGTGCCGAAGGACAGATCGTAGCCACCGTCATAGGGACTTTCCGTGAAAACGGAAGAGAGAGATCGACATCGTCGCACATAGTAGCCCCAGTAATAACCTGCTTCGGCACGAGGGGTGGATGGGTGTACGGGTTCTGCATAGGGGAACTCATGCTGGAGAAATCGAACAGTGACTCGGGCATGTTCTGGGAGGTGGATGTTTGGGAGAACTATCTTCTGTGAGAGACCCGTGTCAACAATTGTGGCAGGGCCATTATTAGTAGAGCTATTACGACGGTGGAAAGGATGATCTTTGCTCATCTGAGTGATCTTGCTGGCCGGGTTACTTTTCCGCGCTGAACTAGGAACGACAATGCCTTCACGGAAGTCGCACCACTCGTTGGCACGCAAGTGATGAGGCATGTCCAAGCTGGGCAGCAATCCAGCGGTGCGAAGATTGGGATGGATGCGGAAGAGATGCTTGCGCAAATATGGTGGAGTCTCAAGATACGACAGGACGTGAGTCAGGAAGTGCGAGGGGTCTGAATTCGCGGTATATGCTTTTGGAGAGGATGTATCGCCATCAACTTGGTCTCTAGTTTTGGCAATGGGTGAGTCATAGGAGACTCTATGGTCATAATAATCACAATGGGCGCCATATTCATTATCGTCAAACACCACAACTTCATCGACGCAGAATACGGCAAGGGCGCGTGCGATTACACCGGCTAGGAAGGTCTTTTGCTCGACGGAATGAGCGCTGCGCAGCATCTGTTAGCGGCCATATACACCAGCAGCCCTTGGGAATCATTTGTCAAAGGGGGTTTACTTGGCTATGATGCTGCCCGGAATGGCAACGCTGAGTGTATGCGATCGGCCACCCTTGGGGGTGAAGACGGCTGAGGGCTTCTCGGTGAACAGGGGATCGGTTGTGCCATTGTGGTGCGAAGGAGGACTATCTTCGTGGGTAGTCTTGCGTCTCTATGTACCACATTTTTCTCACTTCAGATGCCGACTGCTATTACAAGGAGGTACAAGCTGTCATCGACATACCTTATAGTTGGGACGGCGCATTTCAGGGCGGCGGGAAGAAGGCGATGCAGATGGGCGAGAAGGGGAAGTGGAGGACGAAGAAGAAACTTTCAGGGACGAACGCTTCTTCATTTGACAAGACACAAGATCCTTTCGTGGAGCAGGGGATGGCCCAAACAAGCAAACAGTGGATTAGTTCGAAGGCTTTTGGTTGACCGATCACACTTCCTGACGATGACGTTGAGCTCCACCGTCTCCACCAACGTTTTAAGTCAACTTCCTGACGAGGCATTCAGTACTTTAGCAAGTATAGGCGCTCCTTAATGAAAGACATTCCCAGAAACCTGACCAGAATTTCGGATACATTTTCCGTCTAATAACCACTACTACTGACACTACTTGCAACTCCCGTCTTCTCCTCCTGCATGATCTTCACTCCGGAACTGCTCCCAATACGCGCCGCTCCTGCTTGCAACATCTTGCGACAATCCTCTGCCGAACGTACGCCACCACTGGCCTTGACCTTGGTGCCCTTGCCAACCAGATTTGCCGTCGCTCGCATAAGAGTTACGTTCTCCAGGCTCGCCCCGGGTCCGTTGAATCCAGTACTAGTCTTGATATAATCTGCTCCAGCTACACACGCCAGCACCGAACCCGCTATGATCTGCTCGCGGGTCAACTGGGAGGTTTCCAAGATAACCTTCAATCCAACTGGTGCCGGGGCTGCTTTGCGCACTTCTAGCACGTCCGTGTAGACATCCATGTACTTCCCCGCTTGTAGGAGAGGGTAATTAAGGACCATGTCGAGCTCAGACGCTCCTAGACTCACTGCCTCTTTCGCCTCAGCTGTCTTCTCGTCTGTCTTATAAGTTCCCTCGTGAAACCCAACAACACAGGCTACGCCGACAGCCGGGTGTTCTTGCAGGTTCTGGACTGCTCGAGACACATGGTTCAGTCGGACGCAGACCGTCGCGAATCGGTGCTGGATGGCTTCTTGACACAGATCATCGATCTGTTGCTCTGTCGCTGTCAACGCTAGCTGAGTATGGTCTATGGTGCGATTGATTTCAGACGAAACGTCATATGAAGGGAAGTTCGTTGGGAGGGACTGTTGGATGCTGGAGATCAGCGTCGCCCATTCGGCGTCAGTTTGTGGTGTAGCCATGGTGTGATGGAGGATATGACGCTTATGCCCTTGTGGATAGCTTTGGTACTGTATGGACAATCACAGGAGCCGATATGCAACGGACTCCTTGTGCTGATGGAGATAGATCTAGAGAAAATGTTGGGTCTGGAAGGCACTGAAGCTCAGATGATTTCCCGGCCCCCGCCCCTCTTTTGCGGGGCATTGCCTTTCCCCAATCTGCATGAAAGATGAACCACCGATGAGAATCAAAGGCGTCGCTGATCACCGCTTGATTGGGGAAATACCTCTCTCTGAAACCATCACAACTTACGATTACGCATATTATCGCAGTTGACCCTTCCATAAGCCAGATCTACTCCCTACACATCTCATCTATCATAAGAAAACCATTCACAAGTCCATTCCGTTGTTCAGTCCCTAATACAATCAATAAAGCGCCCTATCAAACTCCCATCCATTCAGTCCACCATATATTGTTTTCCAAGTCCCTCTTCAGTATCACATTCCCAGCATTAACCACAGCTCTTACATTCCGGGCCACGGATATCATCTACCCGACCGATTCTCCTACCAGGTCCTCCCGGCCCACCACCACCTCCTGGACCCCATGATCCGCCTCCACCTCCGCCTCCACTGCCCCAGCGAGCACGGGTATCGGGGGTCTTTCCTGACCGAGTAACGTTGAATCGGGAGTTCTGTGCCGCGGTGTAGGGATCCAGCTAGACCAAACATATACCCGTTAGTATATGATTCAGATGGATAAAGCCCCTGCTAGAAGTATGAATGCAGATGTAGAACATACCGAGAATAGGCTGACAAAGTACAGTCCAAGGAAGAGGTAGATGTTCTCGACGAAGCGGATGATTCGGACCGTGATGGGGGGACTGGAAGGAGGGTGCGACTGTTAGTTATGTTGTTTGCAGGGGGTGAAGGGGTATCATGGACTGGAAATTACCTTGCGAGAACGCGTCCCCCGGATACGTAGGTCTTGGGTTCGGATGACATGATAATGTATGGCTAGTTGAGTGAGAAGCGAGATGGATGTTGGTACAGGAAGAAGATGAGAGGCGATGCGATGCGCCAGATAACGAGCTTGCTGGATGTAGTTTAGCGCCGTTATGAGGGACGGAATATTTCCTGCTTAGGTCTAGCGCACCGAGACCCTTGGATGACATCAGCTTTTATACAAAGTGGAATGTTTGTATAGTTGCTTTTCATTGTTGAACTTGCTCCATGGCTGAAGCGACTACTACATATAGATGAAGATGACATATCAATTGAAATATTGGGGGATACAGGTGAAGTGACTATATGTCGCAGACTGCACAGCGAGTATCACAAACGAGTCAAGCATCAGTACCGCTCGTTGGCACCCCTTCCGTCCCAATGTCCGGCGTGAAATTCATTGAAAGCTTCGATGCAGCGGTACTAGCCAGCTCTTGGATGGATGATCCTCCGATGATCTGCAGCACAGGGAGGTCAACAGACAACTCTCTAACAAACCAATGCCGTAGCTCGATAGCCACGAGAGAGTCTACCCCCAAGTCAGTCAATCCAGATGCTCCAGTGAGCGATTCCTCAGCGGACAGTTGCAGTCTAGAGCGCACTTCCTTGATAAAGCCATCGGTGATAATGCCTGTGGCTTCAACAATGCTCTTTGCCAGCTCGAGTTGCGTTCTTATCGGAATCTTGTCGTTAGTGCCGGATGCAGATATGGTCGGGTTAGCCGCATGGCTAATGAGATTCCATGCCTTGGGATTTCGCAACCACAACGCGCTAGGATTCTCTGCAGCATTTATGACCTGGTATCCAGCAATCACCTCAGGGTCACTGCTGGAACCTGGATGGCCTGCAAGTATACCCTCTGCGAAGAGCTCATGCAGATCCTCTTCAGTGAAGTTTGAGGCACCAGTGTTCCGCTCAATCATGTTCTGAACTGCACTATCTGCTCTTGCGAAATATCCTATCCCTTTGATTAGTCCCGGATGGATAATGCTGCCCACTAGACCTTGCTCGTTCCGCTGTTTGATAAGCGCCGACATGAATTCAGTAGCCGCTGAATAGGCTGTCTGACCAATATTGCCCAGCGGTCCAGCGGCTGATCCAAAGAGAATAAAGAATTCGAGATCCAGGCCACCGAACACCTCGCTCAGAATAACACTCCCTTGAACCTTTGGGGCCATGACGCTCTGCATATCCTCTAGCGAAGCTTGAGCAAATAGGCAGTCCTTGAGCACCATTGCTCCGTTGGCAACTCCTCCAATTGGAGGCAGTGATCCACGTATGGAAGCATAGGCACGAGACACGGATTCTCGGTTGGTTACATCACTATTCAAGAAGTATCAGTAAATGGTCTCAACTTACTGACAGCGTAGGCACTCACATTTTCATTGGAACAACTCGAGCACCCAGCCTTGCCATCTCCTCAATCCACTGCGCGTCAACATTGGGGTTTCGACTGCCAAGGACCACAGTTCGTGCTCCTCTCCTTATCATCCATTGGCAGACAGATCTCCCAAGGTCACCAGTCATCCCGACGAGCAAGTATGCTTTACGTGCGGATAATGAGACCATAGAGCTTGCTGTCTGGATTTGAATAGGGACTTGGCCTGGCTGAGTCCAGTCCACAATCTCCAGCTGATTTGTTCCCGGTGAAGTACCCAGCAAATTTTGGACAGGAATAAGATGAATTTCCTGCTGCAAGGTAGCAGTTTGCAGCGCAAACCCGCAGGCTGCAAAGAGTGTTTGCCCAACGGTGATCGGACTAGCAGGCCGCAATAACTTTGACGATGTCCTACCCATACTAGAGACATCAACTTGCACAACATCCTCGGGCAGGAGAGATAAAATTCGATCGTAAGCACTGCTTGCGCTTGGCGTACAGCCGACAAGGACGGAAATCTCTTTTGGTAAAAGGCGAGATAAAGTGCGAGAAGAGCTCCTCTCATGAATATACAACACATCATTTTGCGGCACTGTGGCTTGAACACTGGTCCCAAACAATACCCGAATAGTTCGTGCAAGAGCAAAGGCCGAGACAGCATCACACACGGCCTTGCATAAACCTTCAGTCTTATAGAGCATGATATATGTGTTGGGGCGCCCCTTGTCAACAATGGATGTGGCCAACAGGGCAGCAGCTGTTCGCATCAAAAAAGTAGCTTCTAGACCCTCAGGAACGCTGTCAGGGAGCCGCCAGCACCAGTTGAGCGGTGCCACAATAGCTGACGCGTGTTGATCGGATAGTGCCAGCCAACGTGTATTGTCGTTTTCATCTCGACCGATGACCAAATGCAGAAAGCCAGCACCTTCCACCTTATAGGCGGTTATTGTTGAATAACGCACGATAAGCCGACGATGGGTTGCACCACTGCAATATTTTTCTTGCCTGGATCGAAGGCTTTTGCATAGAATGAACTCACTGCGTCTGGCTGATGGGGCAACAATATCTACCCTGGAATTTTGCAGATTAATCAGGCCGTTGACTCTGCGATGGTTTGCAAAATACCGCTTATTCCTGGAATCATCAAGCTGGATTCGTGGGATTTTCAGCACACCATTCACAAGCCGTAACTCGAATTCTGTGCTATGAAGGCAGACGTCCAGGCCATCGTTATTGTCCTTAGGCGTATGGACCAACTGCATGAAAATCTTGGCCAGAGTAGGCACAGTGGTCTCTTGACTATCCGGTATATTTAGATACTGAAATATGGACTGGGGATTCTCATAGGCGAGGCAGTGAACTGTAGCCTTACTCATGCTGAAATAGGGCTGTACACTCTCCGGGCCACTCGTCACCCAAAGAAGCCTACTGGCGCTATTCATAACCACCTTGAGGCTGCTGAGACATTGGGCTGTGATATTCTCGTAGCAAGGCGAGTCTATATCAGTGAGGTTCAAGACGCACCAGCCATATGTGTCATCCAGGTCCAGTACATCGAGGCTCTGTATAGAAACTAGTTGACGGAACCACGGCCTGAGCAATGCTTCTAGGGCCGATATTATTTTAGATGTTGCTCCCGTCGCTCCGCCGATGAGGAGTAGGTTATCTGACAGTGTCTCCGGGAAATCCCCAGGCTCGCGGAGTAGCCGAATACGATCGTCGATCGCCTGTGTGACAAAGGTAGACGCGTAGCCAAACTGACCAGCTGATGATAGCGCTTCGAGTCCACCAAAACCAGTCATCCTAAGCAGCAGATCCCATTTCTGTAGGCTAATCACCGGACTATGAGGGTCGCCATTCTCATCAGACCACCACTTCTTGAATGAGCTGACTACCAACCCAAAGCGGGTTACACTTGTATTAGTGTTGGTGCGAACGACCAAATACCCACCAGGTTTGAGCAGGCGTCGAACGTTTGCCAGAGCTTGCATTAAGCTTTCAGCGCACCACATCATATCAGCTGCGACAATAAGGTCATATGAGTGCTCCTTGAAGCCTTGCTCGAAGGGATGTGACATGATATCAAGCACTTGGTAGACTATTCTGTCTCCATGTTGAGCAAGGCTTTCTTGTGCCGCCGCAAAGGATGTGGAAGTCGTATCAGTGAAAGTGTAAGATTGATATGAACGCTTGATTACCTTCATAATTGATTCCGTGGCCGAACCCCTTCCTGCATTAAGCTCGAGTATATTCATGTGAGGGTAGCGAAAAGCAATCTGGTCAACGAGCACTGCAAGCTCTGAACGGCTGAAGTTGTTTTCAAAGGGATCCTTATATACCCAATTCATATGACCTTCCTGGTACGGAAGCTCAGTTATCTCGCTTCCCCCTCTGAGGAAATCCGATAAATATTCACCGGCTATTCGAAGCGAAGTCCAGTAAGTGCTATCTATGAGTACCATGCTCATAGCAATGTCAAGAGCATCCTCCAGAGTGCCGTCTAGCCAATCTGGATGACATACCGGGTGAGTGCCTTCGCGTGTTGTGGATAGAATATGATCCATCCATTCCACAACGCTAGATCGATGTTGGTCAAGACTTGTACATTTTTCGGCAAATAGCTGCTCCCGTGCATCTCTTATGTACAGAAGAGCGCAGCGTTCCGCCCACTGAAGCTCTTCTTTGTTTTGAGAATCCTGACATACACTTTTGGGAACAGTTTGTGGCAGCAGCGGGCCCCAGACAATCTTAGAAAAAATAGCACGATCCTCAGGAGATGAAAGTGGAGCGACATAAAAGCCCTCGATCTGGTAGACACCGTGGCCGTCAAGGTCGAATGCGTTAATATCTCCTGTCATGCCATCTGAACTACCATCGTCGAGAAAAGCTTCGACAGCAAGCTCAGTCATGGCCTCCCTTGAGCTGTGCTTGCACAACTGCGGGTTAATTGCGATGTGCTCAATGGACACAGGAACATGTAGTGTATGGACTTCTTCGATGTTCTTCGCTGCTAACAAGACCTGCAAGCTGGAGTCTATGATCGCTGGATGCAGAAGCAAAGATGAGCTCAGGTCGGTCCCTGAAATTATGCCCGTCGACCCATCCGCTTGTCTAGTGAGAGCCTTCAGCCCCTGGAAGGGACCGCTGTAACCAAGCCCAAGCCTTTCTAGAGATGCGTAGAATGCAGAGATTTCCACCGACTGAGATAGCGCTGATATAGACGATCTAGGAGGCAACAACATAACATCTTGTTCCCCCAATGACAGAGTTAGTTTCCCGGAGGCGCATGTCTTCAGTTTCTCGGCAACGCTAGCGTAACATTGAAAGGCCGCGACAATGACATTGTTTTCGGATTTCACAATGACGACTTTCGAGATGATCTCTACTCCCCGCGGGTCGTCAGGAATAGGGACAGCACAGTGGATGCGCACATTATCGAACTCCACCAACCGCAGAGGTTGGCCGCGTGCAATTTTTGCAGCTGCTTCCAATGCCATTGATATGTACCCGGCCGCAGGGAAGACGGCCTGAGACTGAACCTGATGGTTATTGAGCCAATCGAGTTCTGTCCGGCTTAGGTAGTTGCGCCAGCGCCATTCGTCCTCGCCTGTTTCAGGGCTGAGAGTCCCCAAAAGAGGGTGTGGGAGATCAGAGTGATATAGACGCGCTTTAGTATGGCGAGACAGCGTCCAATAAGCTCG